TCTCTCTCTCTCTCTCTCTCTCTCTCTCTCTCTCTCTCTCTCTCTCTCTCTCCCCCAACACTGGAGCCAATGTGTCCATCAGGCACAACACTTACTTTACCGACTTACTGTTGCAAAGGAATTGAAAGACCATAGGCATATTTTGTGAAGTGATTAGATAGAAGCCATAGGATTGGGAGAGATCTATGGACAAGTGTGTGATGGACCACAGTAAATGCAGAAACTGGAGAAGAGCTGTACTAGGAGGATTAAGGTTTGAATTCCAATTTCTTTGAAGCAGGACCTCACAGGTAAACCCAATCTGGATGCTAGAGTTGAGGACATCTCCATTAATAGCATGATGGGTTTCCTGGTACTTAGTTCAGATAACTATTTTCCTTTTCCCTTACTCAACCTCATGTCTGTTTCAGAGAGAAAGAAATGGAAGCGGAGAAAAATCATTGCAAAAACTAACAGACTGGATATTCTAAGCTAGAGAGAGACTAGGACTTGGGGGTGTGGAGGACAGTCCTTGTGTCTGTTCTGAGAAAGAGGCCGCAGGATCTTTTGTAGTTCTTATATAACTCACTGGTTTATGAAGGGGCATGGGGATGCCCTTGATGTCTTGAGAAGAAAGAGTGAGCAAATGAATTAGACTTCACATGTGAACCCCTGTTTATCTGCTCTTTCTACCCATGAACAGTTGAGGATAGGCTAATAATGACCAACAGATTGATGGCTCTGTATTTATTCTCAATCCTCAACCTCAATATTTGTTTCCTAAATTTACCCACTCTTCTGTTTGTTATTAATTTATGAATTGTATTTGGAGCCTATGTAGCATTATATTATATAAAAGAGGAATAAAAAATGATCCCTTCCTCTGGACACACTACAAATCAGGGAAGATACTATTTATTTACTTACCAAAGGAGATATGTAAGTGATGTGGGACCCAGAAGAAGGAAATCTGTGTTGTTATTAAGGGCTCACATACTAATGTAAAATTTGTTAACCTCTACAAAAACTAGGTTTCTAAAAGAAAATGTATGTCTTTTATTTCACTCCCAGATGTTAGAGATAGTATCTCCTAATGGGATTAACACTATTATTTAAATGGCCATACATTTAAAATGAGAACAGAAAGATCAACACAATCCCAATGTATTTGTTTATTCTTTTTTTTTTTTAATTTATGGAACTGGGGATTGAACTCAGGCCCTTGTGCTTGCCAGGGAAGCGCTTATTCCACTGAGCCATCTCCCCAGCCCTGTTTGTTTATTCTTTAAGGATAGCTCTTTGGAATTGTTAAACACATGTACGTGCAACTATGTGTGACACATTATTCTCTTCATGTTTTGTGGGGAGTAGAGCAGGAAAGAAGGGAATATTCAAATTAGAACAAAATTAATAAAAGTAAATAAATATATTTTAAAAGAAAATTTGTATTCCCCAGTATTGTCTATATTCATTTGTATTTGTGAAAATGCACATAAATTCACAAGTAAATACCACTGGGAGGATTTCTATTTCAACAGATAATGAAATGTATTTTAAACTCTTGATAAACTTATACTATTTAATTAATAGACTTGGATCCTCCTGCATCTTGAGGATTCTGTTTAACCAGTTTGTCACAGGTCCAAATTATTTAAGAACTTAAATTGCAAAGAAAAGGTGCTAGGAACTTCTCAGGAGAAAATTCAGGGCTGTCTTTCCAGGGTCAACAGATTTTTAACAGATGATAGTTTTTCTGAGACAAAAAATAAAGAAGAATTTTAGGCAGCTGATGCCTTCTAGAGAGTAGTATCTGCCTCCTAAGTGAATTCTATTCATTTTCCTTTTGAGGAATGGTTGAAATATACCACTAACATAGCTCAAGCATTTTAAAAGTGTATTGTTTTATTTAAATAACTATGTAAGAACATAGGAGAATGAAATCTTAAGCTATTTATTTGCATTCCAGAAAATTCCCAAGACATCTGTAGGAGAGATTATTACCTTCTCCCCGGGATAGTTATCCAACACTTTGCAGATTTCAAAACATCTGAAAAATCTATTGTTGCTCTAGATAGCTCTTCATTTCTTACCCCATCCCGCTGACTCATGTTCAATAAACTGCAACAGTTAATTCATCCCAAGGAAGATAGTAATGCATGTTTTCATCAGTAAAACATTTGAAGAAACATCCAAATTTAAACATGATTTGCTGGGCAAATAAGATAACGATTACAGCAAATTAAAAAACAGTGATTTGATTCATTTTTATGTGGGATAATCAGAGAAAAAAACACTGAACGAGGAGTCTAGGGCTGCCGCTGTCGATTGAGCCCAGGCAAGCCAACCTTCTCCAGGCATCAGTATCTCATTAATAACTGAAGTGTGATGTTAGTTTATACTTACAATAACTCTGACATTCTATCCTTACTGTATCTCTCATCCAGTGTTCAATGATCAAATTCATCACCATTGCTGCTTCTTCTTCAGCTAAAACTATGTTCTGAATTGTAGTTCTGTCTTAAGTATCCAGCAGCCAGAAGAGGGGATTAGGAAGATACAGTTAAAGCATATGGCTCTGACACAGATAAGGCATTAAATGGAGACAGGAAGTATATTCTTATAATGACAACTCTACCTTTCCAACCTATAACATCCTTAAATTCAAGGAACAGTGGCTGGCAAAGATTCATTTTCCATGTGAGACTGAAGCAGAGAAAATGTTGCTGAACTGCCACCACCAAGGCCTTGATTAAGTTACAAATCTATACACATCATTTTTGTGGATTGTTAAACATAGCAAGATGCTACGAATGGGTGGTTGTGGAAGCTTTGCCCCTGATGACTTCAAAAGCCATTGGAATATCCTGGTGAAATAGTCTTGGTAGCAGGCCAGAGGATCCTGGTAAACTTCTTACAAACCTTTTTTCACTGCAAAAATTATTTATGAGAAAGAGTCAGTGCTCTTACAGGAATGATGCTATTTTAAATGAATTTGATTGGGAGACAAGATTAAGTCTGTGTCTCTGGCAGGAAAAATGTTGATACATGTGCTTGAAATGAGATTTCTTACAAGGAAGATGAAATTGTATTGGTTTGTATTTCTGTTCTTCCAGATTTCTTACCAAGTCCCCTTGAAAAATAAGTGGTCTAGCTTTGGAAGTTACCTAGCTGAATAGGATGGTAGTCTTCCTCAGACCTCAAATATGGCTCAAAATAAATAGTTCAAATATGTGTAAATGGCAACAGTGGTTGAGAGAATTGTGGACTCAAGACTTGAGTTCAGGGCAAGAAAGGATTTGAGAAAACATTGGTTCATGTCTCATTTAGCAGATGGGGATACTGCAGCTCAGCACAATGAAGGGAAGCAGCCCAGGCCCAGTTGCAGGGGTAATTGAGATTGCAGCCAAGGTTTTATCAGTCCTGACCAGCTATGGATTATCATCACTATGAAGTCCAGAGGACAGAAGAGCATCAGAGATAGTGCTCCGCGAAACAGGCAGGGCTAGGCTTGTACCGGGTTAGCTTGTTCTGAGTTCTCATGAAGCCTAGCAGAGCCAACCTGTCACTCACATTCCTCACTCTCTGACAGGTCCACTGTAACAACATGTTCGCTAAAGGTGTGAAGATCTTTAAGGAAGTACAGTGCTACTTCCGCTCGGAAGCCAATGAATGGGAACCTAATGCTGTCTCCTTCCCTCTTGTCCTGGATGACGTCAACCCCAGCGCTCGCTTTGTCACGGTGCCTCTCCACCACCGCATGGCCAGTGCCATCAAATGCCAATACCATTTTGCTGACACCTGGATGATGTTCAGTGAGATCACCTTCCAATCAGGTGGGGAGCGAGGGACCCAGTGGGTCAGTGGGAATAGGTGAGGGACAAGGAATTCTAACATCCGGGTTCCCACAGGCAGGTCTCCGGGAAGAGCCAGGCTGTCTAGGTGGCTTCTCACGGGGGGGGGGGGGGGGACGGGACAGTGGGAGTCTTTGTGTCTAATTTTAATTATGGAGGCATTTAGTTACAAAACAGAGGTGAACAGAATATATACTTGACTCTTCTTCATACATTTATCTAGAAGAGAGGTATGGTAAAGTATTTTAAAATAATATGATGTCAAAAATTATACACATTAAGGCAACTAAGAAGAAGCATGATTAAAATGCTCTAATGACAATCTCTAAACATTATACTCAAAAGCAAAGAGAGTGACTTATCTCTGTCACTCAGCTTTACAGCTGATGTTTTGTCATAGTTGAGTAATCTATTTTTTTCTTTTTTGCTAAAGTATATAAAAAAGAATCTGAAATATTTAATTTTATTACTAAGTTTTTAGAATGTCTCCAGTTAAGTAATATCTTTCTAGGCATAATATAAAAACTCATAATGTTTATTAATAGATAATTCCCAAGTACCTCCTAGTGTCCTGTCCATATTAAGTACCTCTTATTGTCTAACAATACCTGGCTACATTTGCCTTCATTTAAGCATGATTCAAATAGAAGCCTCTTGGTAGATGTTCTTCATTACATCTCTCAGATGTCTCTTTTGACCTATAAATCAGTGCCCTGTTTTTAAAAGAAATTTATTCTGGTGTTGTGCATTGCTTTCTATGGTGTTATTTTACTCAAGTTTCTACCCTGAGTCATTCCTGTAAATTAGAAGTTGTATCTATTGGCCAATTTGATTCAAATTCAATATTTATCTTGTCCAGAAGCCTTGTGTGTTATATGTTAAGTCTCATCATGGGAGTGTCACGTTGAACTCCCTAATTTTAAGTGGTAGTCAGACTAATTTCTTGTTTCAGGTAGTTTTCTCTTTGTGGGGAAATTTCCTATGAATTTTGCTGTATGTTTTACCCTCCATTGATAAGCCCCACCTCAATAAATTATTTCCCTAACCAGCTTTGCTAATTAGTGATTTTTAAATTCTTTGATTCTTTCTACACTTATTAGCAGAATTTCTGCTGAATTTCCTCATGTATTTGTTCATCCTGAAGTACAGTTCACGTAGGAAAGATGCGATGGGTATTTTTCCCCTTTAACTCTCTATATCTGGAGTAATGTTTATGTCTTAGCAACATTCAGCGATGTCTAATGTTTGGTTTTCACACCTGTTGTGTCTCTTTGCATCAATAGGCATTCATGGAACTTTATAAATTCAATGTTGAATCAGTTGCATTTATTAATTTTTTTCATGCTCAAGTTGTCCTGTGTTGAACCAGGGCCTGTAATTTCAAACTTTATCTATGTTCTTGAATCTAATTTGTAAAAATCTTCAATAAGCTTTTTGTTTTCTGAAAGAGAAAGTTGTACTATGCTCACCCGGCACATTTTGTTTATTGGGTCCGATGTGAAAGCAACCATTTTCTGAAGAACTCTTGATTCTTCGGAGGAGAATACTTATAGACCACAGACTGGGCAATCATAAGGCTCATGGCTATTGAGCTGTCATTGCTTCTTGGATTTTTTTCAATGGGAAAAGTGAGGAAATATCTATACTTTAATAGGAAAATATCAGGGTTTTATACTGCTACCTCTAATTCGAATTAAAGATAGGAAGGTTTTTACTAAAATTGGATTGCACACTTGGAACTTTTCCTCATTCTAAACATCATGTTTGCTAACAACATTAGCAGTATTTACTTTAGCTACTACTAAGAAACCAATACCCATTTTTTTACTTATAAATATTAAATGAGTTTTATGATTTCTTTATAATTCTATTTTTTTGTCTTCAGAATATATCTGATGAGGATGCGCAATATACACAGATGGCAGAGTAAGAGCCAGATAATATTTTTCTCTGTGTAGTTACATCAATAACGTGATACCTATTAGGTTCACTTTCTTCATTTTGTTCCAACTCTGAGGGAGTCATTCTAAATGCTAAGAACTATTCCTGACTGTACTGTTCTCTTTTTCTCTCTCCTTCTCTCTGTATCCCCTACCCCTCCTAGGGTCTTCTTCACACTGAGCTACCTCCCCAGGCCTTTTTAAAGTTTCTTTTTTTCATTTTGAGAAAGGTCTCACTAAATTGTCCAGGGTGGGCTCAAACTTGCAATTCTCCTGCCTCAGCCTGAGCAGATAGTGATTGAACTCGCTGGAGCTGAGCCCTGTGCCAAATCTTAAAAAAAATTAAAAGATATTTGAAGCTATTGTTCACACCATGAAACGTTAGGTGGAGAGAGAAATTACATTCAATGTTTTTTCAGAAAATATCTAAGGTAAACAATAAGTGGGCAGGAAGGGGAGTTAGAGACTGGGTTTATCGTAAATGACATCCAAGGAGTAAGACTTTTCCCAGGCCTGAAAGAAAGGACAGACATCAGATAATAGGAGGAGAGACTAATTTAGTAATCAATTAGAGGAACTTCCACTTTCTGATAAGATTTTTAAAGGAACAAAATTTCAAAATGTACTAATAGGAAGGGAGCACACATTTAGAAAAACAGGTTTGGTGCCAACTACCTTCTGTGTCAGTGATTTAATTTTAGAGTAAATGGACTGATTATTTTATATGAAATGTCTGTTGAGAGTAGAAATTCAAATGCCCAAAAGTAATGCCATATATGTTGTGTCAACTGTGGGACAAATAGATTCCCATCACCTTCAGAGGATTCTCTTGGAAAGTAATTGGCACACTTATTTTGGCTTGCTACAGCTGCAGGCTATGGTTCTTCACTCTTGAAATTACTTGAACTTTAAATCTGATATGACAATAATATTAGGTTTCATTGGAGCCGGAGAACTCAAATCAGAAAGTACATATTGATTCCAGATACCTCCCTCTTTGTATAATAATGCCAAGAAGATGAAAAGTGAAGGTTTTTGGAAGAAGTATCTCCTGTAAGGAAATGCCTGTTTAAATTCTTGACCTCTTCATTCCACAAATCAAAGGGAAAAATTAGCTGCTATCATCAGCCTGGCAAATATACTTCTGGGATCTGTACTCAGAAACCCCAGTCTCACATAAAGGACAATAAGAGATAGTATGGACATTCTGCCCATCATTTTTTTTTTTTGTTTGTTTTGTATATATGGCAAACTTTATTTTTTTATTTTTCAAAGTTTTATTGATAAACAGATAGCAATGAGACAGTTTCAAATCAAATCAGAAGTACAGTTTCAACAAATACTACACTGCATAAAATCTTCTTAGTGGTTAATTGCTGTCTGCCCATCATTTATCTTAAAAATGAAGGAAGCTTTCCTTTATAAACTAAAGAGCCAGGGCAGAGGGGCATAAGGGAAACACTTCCATAAAACAATTAATTTTCTTAAAGGAAAGAACATCTTACTGCTGTGTCTGTCCAGTGCTCACTTACCCACTGTATTTTCTCTATGTTTTCCTGCATTTATGCCCTGCCTCCCGTGCAAACTTTTTTTTTAAATTTATCTATATATTTAGCACAGGGTCTACAGGGTCTCACTACACAGATTGGACTTGTAGTAATCCTTCCTTCCTGTTTTCAGCCTCCCAAGTGTTGGAATTAAAGGTGCGCACCACAACACCCAGTCGCAATTGCAGTCTCAGCTCGCACTGCGGTGGGCTGGCATGGCAGGCCGGGGATCGAATCCCCAGTCCCTGCATCTACCTAAGCAGGAGTGTTAATCCACTGAGCTATCTGGCCAGCCCCTCTCATGCAAACTTTATGACACTGTGTGATCATAAAGTCCTCTGAACCACCATTCCTTAACTTTTGCAATGCAATTTCTAGGGTATAAAATTTGAGAAGAAAAAAATTGCAAAACTAAAGTTGCCTTATTATATAAATCATATTTTATGTACTATGATTTCCTTTTATAACATGTTAATTGACATAGTAATTATATAGTTTTTTCCAATATATGTATATATTGTGTAATAACCAAGTTCTTTTTTGTAAAGACTCTTGACAAGTTCTCAATGGATTCACAAAGTTGTAAACAAAGTGCTTTTAGGTAAAGCACTGCCTGGCTGTGTTCTCCCCCAGCTCTGATTTTCTCTTGTGTTGTAACAGATGCTGCAATGTACAACAACTCCGGAGCCCTTCCCACCTCACCTATGGCACCTACAACCTATGGTATGTGTGATTCCTAATTACAGAAATTAAACTGAAGACACCTCCTGAAAGTTTAAGATGGGTGGAGATTTGCAAATTCCTGTTTGTGTGGAAGGCTTGATTCCAGGTGGCTCGTCTGGAAAGATTTGACAGTCTACCTCTGAAGGGAAGGGCAGAAACTTTCTCTCTTGACTGCTTATTTTTATAATTCTTCCTTTGGGGAAACAGAAGATAGAATGTTCAGTTACTTAGCATGAAGGTCCAGGAAAATTGAGGTGAAAGAAGAGAAAGGGACATTCCTGAGACCCATAGTAAAGATTTCAATGAATGGGAAGAAGTCTATGACAACAAGAAAAAGCAAAAGCTGGTGTCTGTAGTTGGAGATCAGCATGTGAGCATGCATTGTTTGCTTCAGGAACTCACTGGCCACTCAGCCAGCAATGTGGGAACTTGGAGTTGTCTCCAAAGAGCATGCTTGGCTACCCTGGCCTGTCTTAGAGAATGAGGATAGTGAAACTAGTTCCTCACCTGTTGTGCCTGGATGTGATTGGGAGCCCATAGCCAAGGTCACATAGAGACAAAACTTGGGAAAGAATGGAAAATTATTTTCTTATATAGTCTGAGACATGGGGAGAGGGAGGATACTACCTCATGGGAGAGGACCATAGGGTTTAGAGGCAAAGTAACAACACAGTGGCAAGGTCAAGAATAAGCAGAAATATCATGTGATATCTTCTGGAATTATCTTGAGGAGATGGGCTAACGATGCCCTCAGTCCTGTGCCACATGTTCTTACTTGCCCCATACAATGAGTACATTCTCTGCCTTGTCTTTCTGGTCTCAGATCCAATGCTTAAAGTCGATGACAGCAACACTCGGATCCTGATTGGCTGCTTGGTGGCTATCATCTTCATCCTCCTCGCCATCATTGTCATCATCTTGTGGAGACAGTTCTGGCAGAAAATGCTGGAGAAGGTGAGGAGGTACAGAATGGGCAAAGACAGGAAGCTGTGTCCCTTTTCCTAAGCTACTATTGCTCCAGAAGTAAAAGGCATATTATAAGGATGTATTTGCTAAAGACTTGCAAGAGGCTACCAAAAAGCCTAGGAATTCAGTCAGAAAAACAAAAGTCAATTTTCTCAGTTTTAGAATGAAGATTTTAGAATCTTCTAGATATCTCAGAAGCCTCTTCTTAACACATTTGTTCTCAATTTCCATGAAGTTCCTGATTCACTAGATTTTAGGGTAGAGTGCAGGTGTCTGTATATTTTCATTTAACAAGTAATTCCGATGCATGTTCAAGGTTGATAACCTGCCTAATGCTTAGCTAAAGAATCTGCTATACTATTGAAGTTCTTTCTCTTTTTAAACGTTTTTTGCTTGTTTGCTTGCTTTTGGAAGAAGGAATGGAAGGAAAGAGAGCAAGAGTGAGAGCGAGAGTGAAAGAGAGAGAGATTCATCACAGGCCAGGGATATAGCTCAGTAAATGCAAGGTCTTGAGTTTCATCCCCAGTATCTTAAAAAAAAAATCCAAGTCAATTTCCTCATAATTCTATCCTTATTTCTTTTGTACTTGAAGGATATTTTCTGTTAACCTCTGAGTAACAGTGAGATAAACATAGTGTATTAAACTGTTTCCCTGGTGAGAAATTGTGATGTGTTCAAGGTCCTACAACTAGTAGTTTGTGTTCTATGTACTTCTCATTTGCAAACATAGGAATACGTTGACATTTTCTCCCAAAATTGATATATTTTACCAAGGGTGGATTATATGTGACTTTAGGGTGGATTATATGTGAGTTTTCTTGGTTTCTTAGGCCAGATAACAACTTCAAAGGCACTGCTGCCAAATGCCAGATTCTGTTGGATCCATTGTTGATGACATTTCCCTCTTAGACCATACATACCTCCTTGTCCTCCTCCTCGTCCTCCTCCTCTTCCTCTTCTTCCTCCTTCTTAAATGCAATTGGTACAGGGTCTACAGGGACTACAGAGTCTTACTATGTAGATCTGACTCATTATCCTCCTGTTTTTAGCCTCCCAAGTGCTGGGATTACAGGCACATGCCACCACACCCAGTCTCAGTGGCCATTTCAGCATACCCTGGGGGCAGGGCTGGCACGGCATGCTGGGTATCAAACCCCTGCTGCTGAATACACACCTTCTTATGTGCTGTGTTCCTCTCAATGGACATGGGCTAAGGAAGGTCTGCTAACTCTGGGCTTTGAAGTTTCAAACTGCTGTTAGACGGCAAAGGGCAAGAAGAAGGGCATTGTTTGGTTGGTCTCTGTGTCATGGGTCTCTCAAAGGACAGCAAACCTGCATGGCACACACACCAGAGAAGGGGCGAGGGGACCCTGAAAATGGGCTTGAGTCTCCAGAACTCTCTGAAGGTAGACAGGGGAAAAGAAGTGCTCTAACAAATGAGAGGAGCACCCAGACAAGCAGCCTGCAATTCCTTCTGACCTGTTCCACAGTCAAGTTCTTGAGATAGTTGAGGTTTGAAGTGTGTAGACAGGAATATTCACAGCAAAAAATCTAATTGCTTCCCACGAGGATCTTTACTTTTGGTCTGAAGACATCTTACCTAAATTAAGGCGGTAAGTCCATACACAGGATGCAAAGGCTGAAGACAGAACTCACAGGGCACTGGCCCACTGGTGTGACTGTTTCAGGACATCAGTGAAGGCACATCAGGACCATTCCTCACATAAGAAGAGAGCAAAAATTTTTCCTGTAAATATTTAGCTTGACTTCAAGAAATTTTTTTCTAACCTTATAGATCCCAAGAAGATAAGTCGAAATGTATTGGAATGACACTTAGAATCTCTTCCTGGTCATAGATTTGTGTCAGTTATTTGTGTGTGTGTGTGTGTGTGTGTGTGTGTGTGTGTGTATAGGATGTATAATGTAAAGTTCCAACTTTATTCTTTTTCATGTGAATATCAGGTTTTGCCTGAAGTTTGTTGACAAAGCTATTGTATTTCTACTGCATTTTTGGCCCCCTTATTAAAGATGATCAGTTGATGCTATATGTATGATTTTATTTCTAACTTCTCTATTTTGTTCCATTTATCTACATGTCTGTACCCTTATCACTTACAGTGTTTCTGGGACTTTGCAGGAGAAAAGTGAATGCAACAGGTGGGTTTCAGAAGGGCAGGAACTGCTGGTACTCTCTATACCAATGTAGTCTTCTCCTTGCTCTCTCCCAGGCTTCCCGGAGGATGCTCGATGATGAAATGACAGTCAGCCTTTCCCTGCCAAGCGAGTCCAGCATGTTCAATAATAACCGCTCCTCATCACCAAGCGAGCAAGAGTCCAACTCAACTTATGATCGCATCTTTCCCCTTCGCCCTGACTACCAGGAGCCATCTAGATTGATAAGAAAGCTCCCAGAATTTTCTCCAGGGGAAGAGGAATCAGGTAAGGATAAAATAACAGGATGGAGGGAGAACTGTGACACACAGTGTATAGAGGTAACACTCCTGCTCCTAGGCAACCAAGCATTTTTGGTCTTTGCTAGCCACCTGAGTAATCCACATACTCCTTCTAGACTCGAGATTGCTGCTTTACTATTGAACATAAGGTGTTTGGAGGAACCTCCATATCAAAAGATGAAGACAAAGATACAGGGTTATAAGTGTGGCAACACCCAAAGGACTCAAGCAGTCTAACTTGCTCATTTCACACAGAAGAAAGGAAAAAGGCTCTAATAAGTTACTCAGCCAACACTAGACCTCACTATGTGTGAATTGAGGAGTGGGGTTTCACAAGGAGGAAGACATAAATAAAGGAAGCTAAAGATATTCTGAAATTCTCAGTTTTGTAGCCATCTAATAATTGAGTGATCTATTTTTTGGTCAATTTTTCTTTGGTAAACATTTGTTAGGGTAATACAAGATTGTCTTATGAGAATAATTTTTTTTTTTTTTGCTTTTTCTCTACAAAAGCATTGAGTAAGGTAAAACACTGCCAGATGATTCAAATCCCAGTGTCTCTTAAAAAATGTAGAGTGACATCAGAATGGATGCTGGGATCATCTCTGGAGGTCAGAAGAGCTTTTCTAGGTCAACAATCTATGACCCAGGTCGGTAAAAGGGCACTTGTGGTGTTCAGAGGAGAGGAGTCTAGGATAAACCAGATGTGGAGACTGACAGAGCACAGGATTTCCAGGGAGCCAGTGGGAAGGAATTTTCTAGAAGGAAGGAACTGGCATCTACTCTATCACTGAGCAGATAGAAAACATTGAATGAGCAGGATTTAACAGAGTCAACAAGATTAATGAGTATAAACTGACTTCCTTTATAGATTGAACTTAGTAACTTAGCTATTTCATAAAGTCTAAAATATCCCTTGCCTCATATTTTTAATTTCTGAGAGTTTAGGATGTGTCTGACACAAGATGGTATGATTTAAATTGCTTTTGAATCATTGGCAGTGTTCTAAAAGTGAGAAAGCGTCGTTCCTTTCCTTTTTCCCCACAGTCCCCACAGCATTTGTTCTCAGTTGATATTTTGACAGTTGCTGGGGTGAGATGGAATTTGAGTGCTTTAATTTGCATCTGTTGAATGACCAATGATGTTGAGCATTTTTCATGTATTTATTTTTCATGCATCATCTGTGAAGTGTGTATTATGCTTTGATTAACTAATAAGGAGACAATATGCAATGTATCAACCATTGTGTTTTGAAACTGAAATGTATCAACTATTTTAACCATCCTACTAACCTGTTTCTTTGCTGTTTTATCTTTTTCCTCTTTAAAATAAAAAAATAAAAGAAAATATGATTTGACAAACCTTCCATTTTAATACTCTCATCTTGATAGGGCATGAGGCTTCTTACATCTTTGCCATGCAGTTCCACAAGATGAGACATGTTGTTAATGGTCCTGATTATGAGATAAGAATAAGGAACAAAATGACATCTACATTCTTGAGACCACAAGAGTCTCAGGAAGCAAAACTGTTCCTTAAGTAAGACCATTATGAAGAAGTTAAGTTGTCATATTGGCAGGTTCTAGTGCTCCTCTCAGATTTTCTTAAAAAGATCTCCAAAGGTGACCCTTGGATTGAGACCTGTGGCCCTTGTCTTCCAGGTTGCAGTGGCATCGTGAAGCCAGTCCAGCCCAGTGGACCTGAGGGAGTGCCCCACTATGCTGAGGCCGACATTGTGAACCTCCAGGGAGTAACTGGAGGCAACACCTACTCAGTGCCTGCTGTCACCATGGACCTGCTCTCAGGAAAAGATGTGGCTGTGGAAGAGTTCCCCAGGAAACTTTTAACATTCAAGGAGAAGCTGGGAGAAGGCCAGTTTGGTGAGGTGAGTTGATTTTCTGTGTGGCCTCCAGTCTTTGGAAACTTGAAGGAAGTGGGGAGATAAAAATGGTCAGTACAGCAAATTGCATCTTCTGCAGGTCAATTCACAACCAAAGGTCCAAAGGTCTCCTCTGCTCATCTCTCTTTGCTGTGTCCTCTGGATGATGAGCATTGGGCCAACCTCATCTCTCTGAAGTAGCTGGTGAAAGCCTCAGATTTCCATGCAGGAATATTTAAAGCAGGAGCTCACTAGACATTAGAGAGCCTGAAAAACATTAAATATTTTGAAAAAATGTCTACAGTGTGTTCCAGGGGGTGGGGCTCACAAGATGTGATCATCTCTAATGAATTGTCCAGGAACACCCTGCTGCTTGATAGTCATTTTTCTTTCTTTCTTTTTTAATGAGCATTATATGAAAAATGGTCAAAAACAACCTCATCCCTGCCTCTGGTCCCAGAAGTATCCTCTAGGGAATGAATTACCAACCTAGATAAGGAGGAGGAGTCCTCTCTCAATTGCCCTCAGAGGATACATGTAATATTAAATTCTCAGTCACATGGGCTTTTGGAGAACTCAAAGCAATGTTTTTAGTTGCAAGAGGCACTCTTCAATACGTAAGCCCCAAATACAGTATGACATTGAATTTCACATATCATAGGTCACATGTTCTCCCATATGAATATATCGTATGTGTGTTACATGTTCTCCTCTAAGTAGGCCTGAGTGCTGAAGGAGGTACAAGAGTGCATGACATCTGTTTGTAGCATTATTTATACTCATGCTGCCTCCTCGATTGAAAACTTACTCTCATTATTCTACATATAGTGTATAGGAGCACTTACAATTCTAAACTTCACACTAAGGGATTATCTTAGGAAATTGGTTTATGTTTTGTACTGTCAGTTAACTACTCCTTCCCAAATCTAGAGTTTAAACTTTTGTACTGAATAACATTTTATTGTGGGACCATGCTATACTGAAATACTACCACTATTTCTTTTATAAGGCAGTGACATGTCATATTAGCTGAGTGCTTCGCTATTGCTTTAAATTATATCAAGAATCAAAGATATGTTGCACATATCTTATTATTGTCTTTTGATTATTTTGCCTGACTTGTAAGAGTTAGTTTAGCTCCAGGAAATGCCCAGCAAGAGTACTGAGACATCTCCAGGAGAATTGATGATGCTGAGACTAGATGACTTTTGTCTAGGTTCATCTCTGTGAAGTGGAGGGAATGGAAAAATTCAAAGACAAAGATTTTGCTCTAGATGTCAGTGCCAACCAGCCTGTCCTGGTGGCCGTGAAAATGCTCCGAGCAGATGCCAACAAGAATGCCAGGTCTGTGGTCTGCATTTTTAATTTCCCTTTATTTATTTCATCTTTAGGATCAGGAACATCTCTGGAAACTTCTAAGCATACTTCTCTTTTGAGATGGGGAGATCTGTGAGCTGCCTCACATTGCTATTCTTATGCTTTATTTTTCCGATGAACTCCGAAGCCCTCTGCTGTCTTTTTCTGTACCCCTTTCAAATGTACATTTTTTATTTCCCACATATTTACTTCCTAACTCCCTTTGCACAGCCCTGCACCTTTCGGTCCAGATGTGCACTTCCTCCTTCATTACAGATGTGCTCTGAATGTCATCACCTCTTCTTGGCAGGTTTTTCACAACCCCATGCATCTTTCCTGCGAAACCTTTCCCTTCTCCTTTCCATCACATCTGTTTACTTTCTCATCCTGTTTTTCTCTTTTATGCTCCTTTTCTTCTATGTTCCACAACCTACAAAATGAGAAGCTACCTCTACTTGGAAAAGTATCCGTGGACCTCAGAGCTAAAGGATCCACAGGCCTTTAGCAGTTTTTCCAAGCTGGCTATTAATTCTCGGATCCTTTGCTACATAGATTGCAGTGTCCAGCCACCCTCCATTGTCTGACAGCCTTTCCATTACAGTAATGGTGAGTTAGTCCTCACCCAGAGAGGCATGCTGGTTGCAAATTGATTGTTTGTGTCCCAGAGAAATCTGAACATCTGGATAACATCTGCATCTCCCTATTTGCATTGTCTTATCTCACTGATATTCATAGCGAGAGTAAGTTTATTATTCCTATTCCCCAAAGTGCTGTTAAAGTCCAACAATGGTGATGGAGTTTCATTACAAGTCTTGAAAATGGCAGGAAATGGAGTGGAGAGAAAGGTGAGCGAATGGAGCTATGGGGACTTCCAAAAGATAGCCTAGAATTTGTCTTGAGGCTCTTAGTGTGAGTGGAAGTGACGTTTTTTCTGGATACTCTAAAAGGTGGAGCATTCTTTATATTAATTTTAGCACATTATTAGAGAAAATAACAAAGAGAAAAAGCACAGGATATGATAAAGCCTTAGCGGGGCTTGCTGTGTACCCATTTAGCAGCAATGGGCGACTCAGACTGTGGGGCCTCCCAAGCCTCAGAAACCCCTGACTTGGAATTAAAGAAACATGAAAGGGAGGAGATGTTGAATCAGAATCAAACTGATTTTAAGGGTTTATTCTGACATAGTATGATGTTCAGTGGCAGATTCCTATAAAACTCAAGGAACACTTGTAATTGACCTGTTCCAACAGTTTTGGGAAGATGGACTTGATTCAACACTTGCTACTTTATGACTCAGAGGTGGCTGTCACTATGTATTCTAATAATTTCTAGTCTTGGCCAAGTGAGTACTTCTTTGGAAATGAACCCCTCTTGCCACCATGCCCCTTAGGCAGCTCTGTTTAAACAGGCTCCTAAATGCATGTTGTGACTACTGATGCAGATTGCATTAGGAAAAGCCAGTGGGGGAAACAAAGAATCATTGGATAGATACATGGTGGTTATCCACTTTATAAAAACATTCTTTGATTTATTAATAGAGTGATTTTGTAACTTTTTAAAACTTAAATACTCTAGTGCACTCAAGATAGGAGTTTCAGTGAAAAGTTTCATTTTGCAGAGTTGTTTTAAAAATGTACTTGATTGAGCAAATACTAAAAATGAATGATCAAATGTCTCCATGTGATGGCATTTTGTTAAATATTAGGCATGCCCCACTTGATAAGTTTTTGGTCTCATTCTTGAAGCACTGCATTTTGAATAAAGGTCCATTCTGCTCCAGGAGCAGTAGATTGAGACACTTCTGGGTGCTGGTTTCTCTGTTTTCTCAAAGTTCACCGACAGGCAAATAAAACTAAATAGGATGGGAAGGAATAGATGTTGCAGCGCATTCTTCCCCCTTTTGATTCTGAGTCTAGGGACCTGTGGACTGATCTATGTCTATGTCCTTCAAAGGAATGATTTCCTCAAGGAGATAAAGATCATGTCCCGGCTGAAGGACCCAAACATCATCCGTCTCTTAGCTGTGTGTATCACTGAGGACCCTCTCTGCATGATCACGGAATACATGGAGAATGGAGATCTCAATCAGTTTCTTTCCCGCCATGAGCCCCCGAATTCCTGCTCCAGCAATGGGCCCACTGTCAGGTAAAATCAGCCAGGTCTTCTGCCTCTTCCCTGAGATCATGAGAGATAATCAGGTTGTAAACAGCAAAAGCAGTGGCCCTTAAAATTCATCATGGTTCTGGGATGTTGGGGAAGGTTAGTGTGCAGTGGGTAGTGGAGCATTACTTTCAGGGGATGCAAAAGGATTCATGAAGAGTATATAAAGGGGCTGAATATGGAAGTGCACGCCTATAACTTAGGCACTCTAGAAGGCTGAGGCAGGAGGTTTCAAGCCCAGTTTAGGGAACTTAGTGACTAAGGGAGGTCTTATCTCAAAAAAATACTTAAAAAGGTCTGGGGATGTATCACAGCTGAACTCTGGGTTCAATACTCAGTCACAGATGCACACATTTCCATACACACACTCTAAAGAGAGGATGTTGGGGCCACGGAGAAAGCTCAGTGGTCTAAGTGCCTGCCTAGGCAAGTGCAAGGACCCAGATTTGATTTCCGGTATATCATGCTGTGCCAGCTCTGGACCCTCAGGTGCGCTGTGCTGGCCACCAAAATATGCGTGGTGGCGCATGCCTGTAATCCCAGCACTGGGGAGGCTGAGACAGGAGGATCACTCCAAGGCCACACTGCTTAGTGAGACCCTGTACCAAATAGAAAACAAAACAAAGAAAGAGAACTTTGAAGTTTAAGCCCTGGTTGGTTGATACCAATGTGAGTGTGTGGCTTTCATGACTTCCAGTTTCTATATGCTTTCTCCTTTCTTATATAGTCTCCTCTATATTCTTCTCAGTTACATCAACCTGAAGTTCATGGCTACCCAGATTGCCTCTGGCATGAAGTACCTTTCTTCTCTTAATTTTGTCCACCGAGATTTGGCCACCCGGAACTGCCTAGTGGGTAGGAACTACACCATCAAGATAGCTGACTTTGGAATGAGCAGAAACCTGTACAGCGGTGACTACTACCGGATCCAGGGCCGGGCGGTGCTCCCCATCCGCTGGATGTCCTGGGAGAGCATCTTGCTGGTGAGCAAGCTGCCCTCATTCGTGAGGCTGGCCCTGGTCACTAAGACTCAGGCAGCACCCACAGCAGGTGGGCCCAAGCCGGAGACAGCAGGAGACAGTGCCACACATACTTGGTTATTTTCTGTCACTTGAGAAAGCTTTCTTTGTGTACTAATTATTCTCTATCATTTGCCTTTTCCTGCTGATAAGAAAGGAACACTCCATTGTAGAAAGTTTAGAACAAAATATTAAGTGTAAAAGCTTTAGTATCTTTTTTCTCTTTCCATCCATTGATTGGTCCTAATTAGTTTAGAATATTAAAAATTTTATTATTTAAATGTTATCTATATAAAAATCTGTTTTATAGTAGTTGCATAACTATTTTCTTATTAATTATTGGACTTACTTTACATTTTTTTCCCAAAGTTTTATTGATAAACAGATAGCAATGAGACAGTTTCAAATCAAATTGAAAGTACAGTTTCAACAAATAATACACTGCATATATTCTTCTTAGTGGTTAATTGCTGTACAAGAAGTGGACTTGTGATCCTATTTACAAACACCATTAGAACAAATCATTCTATTTATTAAGAGAATGCAACTATATATCTATCCTAACCACTTTGAATACACAGATACAAAATGGACATTCATTGGTATACCCCATTTTTTCTAAGTTCCGTTATTGAATATTATAGGTGTGTAAACTCAGCAAAATATTCTAAGAGTCCAGTAGACCATAATAGCATTGGGTCTTCTGTTTAACTGTCAATGTCAGAAATTATTGACCTGAGTCCCCCACAGCTCAACATAACAGCATGGCTTTATTTCCTATATTTCGTCTTCATACTTTTCTACTGGTACTTTACATTTTAAAGTATTATTACCTTCTACTTTTTAAGACCATCTTTCTTTGATTTATACTTTTGTTCAATTCTTGGTATTCTGTACCATGTGCAGATGTATTTTTTCCAAACATCTGTTTTGGAAGTACCTTCCTGACCATGCATATCTGTGTCATTTCATTGTTAATTTTTCCAACCACTCAGCCAATTTAAAGAACTGGTAGACTTAAACTTTTACTTTCAGCAATGCTATGTGCATATAATTTTCTTTCGTATTATGGAACATTTCAAAGAGACACTTGAGGTTAATTTGGTTTTGTTCACTTACAGTCTACTTATTTTTAGTTCATATTTGTATAGGATTCATAAATTAATTTTGAAATAAAAGGTATAGTTATCTCTTCTCGTTGAAACAACCACTATTAGTATTTTGGTATATTTCCTTTGAGAATTTTTTCTTATGCATGTATTTCCACATGTGTATTCTTATGTAAAATTTATATCATGTAACTGAGATGATAATATGCCATATAATCACTATTTTAGTTAGTATTTTATCACTGGCATTTCCAATGAATTCTTTAAAAATATGATTTTTAATAACTGCATAATATTTCTTTATGTGGCTATATCCTATAATTTATTAAGGTCTGTATACATAAATTTAATATTTAAGTTTCTAGATTCCAATGATTAAGAATACTGGTATGCATTCTTAATCATTGGAATTATGTACCAGGATAAAAAAAAATCATCATTATGATCTTTTTCATCTATATATTGAGTTGTTATATTTTGCTATCTCTAATATGATGGCAACATTGTTCTAGTTAAAGATATTGCACACTCTTACGAGATATGTATTAGTCTGAGACTCAAAGGCCTTTGCTTCAAAATCTAGCTTTTGCATTAACCGGGTTAACTGAGTAACCCTCCCCTATCTCATTTTTCTTATCTAAAATATAATATCCATTTGAAAGGCCATTTTCTTTATAGAATACAAAATGTATTATTGTTTAATGCATGCTAATTACATCTAATTTTTTTTAATGTAATTGGTACAGGGTCTCACTACAAAGCTCAGACTTGTAGTGATCCTCCTATTTTCAACCTCCCTGGTGTTGTGATTACAGGCTTGTGCCACCATACCTGGTCTCGGTGGCCGGCTCAATGCACCCGGGATGGGGCTGGTGCAGCATGTGGTGCCCAGGATCGAACCCTGTCCCTGTGCTTGCCAAAGCAGGTGCTTAGTTCTGCTGAGCTATCTCATCAGCTGATATCTAAATCTTCTTGCTATCACTTGGTAAAGCCTGTTTTTTAAGATTGTTACTATCACTGAACTAGGAAATGAGACTCCCAGATTACAAAAGGGATTAAATCAGGTGCTTAAAGAAGGTTTCTCTATTTCTAACACAAAAGCAGTTGACTTCCTGTTCTGACTTTCCCCGGGACATCTTCCCGAGAGCAAGGCTGATATCTAACCCTTGGCTGGAGAGTCCGATGGGTTATGGTGGCTTCCTTTCAGTTCATGGCTCTCGTCTCCAAAAGCAGAACTGAGATTAAAGCAGGAGGATGAAAGAATGATTTGCTTTTGGACAACTTGACATTGTCACTTCTAGATCCTCCACCCAGATTTTGGCAGTTTCCGTATTCCTTATGCATGATAGAGGAAGGGCAATTAATTCTAGATTATGAGGACACAACCTTTTTCTTGTGCACCGTGATTCTGATTTTACCTTTCCTCACTTATACAGGGCAAATTCACCACAGCAAGTGATGTGTGGGCCTTTGGGGTAACTCTGTGGGAGACTTTCACTTTTTGTCAAGAGCAGCCGTATTCCCAGCTGTCAGATGAGCAGGTTATTGAGAATACTGGAGAGTTTTTCCGAGACCAGGGGAGACAGGTAAGAACTGCTGGTGGTGGTTTGAAAGAGATGTGATGCTAGAAGACAAAGAAAAGAAAGCCTGATTCAGCAGGACAGATCTGCACTGAATCATGCACTATATGATTATAGTCTGTTGTCACTAACTATTCAGATTATGTGAAAGACCAAGGTTATCCCCAGGCCACCATATACTCTTTTTTGTCAATGGTATCTACTCATTGATTCCTGGACAGCATGAAAGGTCAGGTCTGGTTCCTCCTCAACACAAAGGGAGCAGGAAATATAAGTCTTACCTCTGTGATCAATAGTTTTATCTATTTTTTGATTTAGAGCATTAGTTTGTCTTCCTAGTTGAACAGTATGTGTGTAAAATGGAATGAGGGATTTATTAGCATTCATTTAAACCTTACTGGCCAGGTGCATTGGTGCTTGTCTGTAATTCCAGCATTCTGACAGGCTGACATAGGAGAATAGCAAGTTTAAAGTTATCCTGGACAATTTAGTAAGACTGTGCCTCACTTCAAAAATAACAAAAGGGATGGACATGTAGCTTAGTGCAGAGACCTCAGGTCCAACCCAAATTCTGAAAAATCCACTTTGTAGCACCATTTCTAGATTTGTACATTCAGAAATGGACAGTGTGTCCTGGATGTGGTGTTCCTGGAGCACCTTTGGGCCCATTTAATGATGCATCTCATGACTCAGGGAGAGCTGAGCCCCGCAAATCACAAGGAGTCCCAATCCCTAGACTTCCTGGGTAAGCTTTCTTTGCTTAGCTCAATTTTTGACATTTTATGAGATTCAAGAATTTACAACTGGTCAGTAACTGGTACATTGCATTTCTTCAAAGTGGCTACGGAATACAGAATACTCTTGGGTTAGGTCATCTCCAACAGGAATATAACAGCAGAAGAGAGTTTATTTTCAGAAAATAAAGTTTATTTGCTATGGTTTAAATAGACCCAAGCAAACAAATGATAAGAGAGTAACCAGAACAATGCATAATCTATGTTGGAAATGAGAGTGGGAACCTAGAATTTAATTTATCTTAATATTGTGTTGGCTATTTGGTAGCAGAGGTGGTGAACTACCTATTTTGATTTTTATGCAATTGCCTTCTATAACAATGACTAAATGTACTCCTGTGTTCATGGAATAAGCAAACACACCAAGAACACGTTTGTCTATTTTCTCCTGGACTGATACATCCCCAGTGACCTTGAGAGAACACATATCCACTTACAGAGGGTGTGCTTAATTAGAAACGCTATCTCAACCACCATAATAGTGGCCGAAATACTAGCATATCTTAGAATTATAGGCAAAAGTAGGAATATGGCAAGCCTTTCAGTATTCCTCAGTGTTTTCAGTGACTAAAATGCTAGAGAGAATTTTTATTATATGAAACAAAATTTGACCTTCAAACATTCAACAATGAAAGGCATGCCCTCCCAACTCTTCCATGTCCACTTTACTTTAAAAGTGCTCTTTATATTGAAGAGTTTTTTCTTACTTCATAGTACAATGTTACATGTTAATGACTGCTTTTGTATATTTCAATTTCATAAGGAAACACTTTTTATTATTTGATAAAAATTTTATTTTTGAGCCAATGAGGTAACTCAGCAGACTAAGCACCTGCTTAGATAAGCACACAGACTGGGGTCCCTGACACCACACACCTTACCGGCCTCCCCCTAGGGGAACACTGAGCTGGTGATCGAGTCAGGGATGGCTGCGCACACCTGTGATTTGGCCAAGGGGGAGGCTGAAAATAGGAGGATCACTGTGAGTCTGAGCTGCATAGTGAGGCCCTGTACCAAATACATTGAAAAAAAAAAAAGAAATTTTATTTTTAACACTCTCTAAGGTTTTGCCTTTCTTAGTTTTAGATACAGTTTTAAAACAAATCCACAGCTTTGCTTTTTCCAGATGCTAGTGGTACACCAAATATACATTATGACTCATGACTCTTTTTTTTTTGAACTGGGAATTGAACTCAGGCCCTTGCACTTGCCAGGCAAGGGCTTGTTCTGCTGAACCATCTCCCCAGTCGACTCATGACTCTTTGTCAAATAGTAAAATCAAATATTTCATGGAAGCTATGCCAAAGCCAAATATTACCTCTAGGAGCTAAGCACAATGCTCATTCATAGCCATAGGTGTTACTAAATTTAAAATATGAAACATAATAAACATTATTAAATGTAATTTACTAAATTTATATTTTATTACATTTTGCTTAATGTAATTGCTATTGAATGTATTAAGTTTGGTATTCAAATTTTAAAAGTTTAGCATGGGAGTCCAATGACTGTAATTTCTCAAACTTATCAGTGGCTACATGGGTTCTGTGATGACCAGATTGAGCAAGTGTTATATAACTCATTTTCAAGAACCATTTCTAACCTTTGATCACAGCAGACATGATACAGAAGAAAAACATCTCAGTACCATAGAACCTAGAAAGAATACTTAGTTTTCTTAGTTTAAGCAAATCTTAAATCCTTCATCTTCACTGTAAAATATTTGGTCATGTACACAATAATTTCAATAATTTAAACATATACTTGACATTTATCCTTTCAATTTTATCTTAAGAGGTAATTAATTCCCAGGTGGCATTTTTTGTAGGCTTGTGGTCTAAATGGAATTAAATATCCCAAACATCAAATACAGTCTTGAAAGTTTACTTATTTGATGATATAAAAGACAAACAAAGTTCTATAGATGTAATATTATTATTATTATTTTTTATTTTTTTCCATAATTTTATTGAGAAACAAATAGCAATGAGACAGTTTCAAATCAAATTGGTAGGGCAGTTTCAATAATTAACACGTTGCATACATTCTTCCTAGTGGTTAATTGCTGTACAAGATGCAGACATGATATCCAATTTACAAACACTATTGGAACAAATCACTCTATTCATTAAGAGAATGTAACTATATATCTATCCTAACCACTTTGAATACACAGATACAAAATGGACATATATCTGTATCCCCTTTTTTTGTTAAGTTCCGTTATTTGAATATTATAGGTGTGTAAACTCAGCAAAATATTCTAAAAGAGTCCAGTAGCCCATAATTGGGTCTTCCGTGTAATATTAATTATTATGAAAAATAGCTTTAATTATTTGCTAAGTTTATATGACTTTGAAAAGAGCACTTTAATAATTCAAATTATGATTTCTACTTTACTGATATCTGTTGGCACAAAGTGCATACATGTTTTCTATATTATTTAGTAGACATTTCAAAATGGTCTGGCAGTTTTAAATTCCATCAGTAACGTGTGAGTGTCTGTTATTCTGTATTTCATTTATACTGATACTATTTCTTAGATGCGTGGTACTTTATTGCCACAGTACCCTATAATATGCTGAGTAAAGGCTTGTCAAGCCTAATCTGAGATTCCAGTATAAGTTCACAGGTATTTCCCTTTTTACTTGTGAATATAGAGCTGATGGGTACAGGAGACGAGCAGCTGCTGGGTACAGCTGAGTTCTCTGGTGTGTGATGCAGGCTGATGCTAGTGTAGGGGAGGCAGGACAGCAGGGATAGGTGAATGACTACTCAGCTGCTGATGTCAGGCTCAGCGAAGGCACTGGGTGCATCTGTGGTTCGGAGGGCATAAGACATTTAGTCATGGTTCAGGAATGTGTCAATGAGGTGTGATCAAAATACCCAGTCAATGTTTAAAAGTAGAACTTTGATTACAGTGAAAGACACATTTCCATTGATCCCCCTCTAACCCCCCCATCCTCACTTTGGACACACTTATCCCATTCTTCTTGCTACTTTCTGAAGTAGTTCTGGAAGTCCCCTTTCATGAGTGTTTTCATGGGGTGTGATCAAAAAACGTGAATGCTGCGGCTGTGTGCTATCTAAGGGAAAGGCAGGCTTATGCTAACATTCTGGTGTGTCTCCAGGCCGCCTTATTAATCAGAACTGACATTAGGAAACTTCTGGATCTCCTCCAAAGCCAAAATGGCCATGAAAGGTAAATGTTTTGAGTCACTTTAGAACATGGTGGCAGCCACAACAGCTAATGACACTCACAAGAGAGGGCTTCTAGAACTTCTCCAGGAAATACCAAGCATATTTGATAAGTGTTTGAAGGACAGTTAATTTTTGAGCAACAGGGAGTAAAATGGAAATGTGGCTTTTGCTGTAATCGACTGTTAAAATTTAGGATTTTATTTTCTCCAAATGCCTTCAGGGCAGGTTTGGCTGGCTTGAGTTGTGGGGATTGAACCACAGCAACCTGAGCCTGACTGCTTTGTTGAAGCAGCCACTTAAAGAACTGAGCTAAGGGGCAGGCCCGCTCGACTGTTAAAATTTAAAATTCACCATATTTAGTATTTTCATCTCATGTACCAAGATATTCAGAAACATGAGTAGCAGCATGGCAGTAACAGATTATAGGCACAAAATTGTTGACCTAGGAGGCAACAGAGGAGTATCTTATTTGAGACAATCTATAATTGGCAATTTCAGAGTAGAGTCTTAATCTGTAATTCAGCGCTGAATGAGAGGTGGGGTAAAGGCATTGACTGAGCTGGACGAGAGGTGGGGTAAAGGCACTGACTGAGATGCATAATAAAATGCAGAAAGCGAAGCTTTTCTGTGGGGGGCCAGTACAGGGGAGGGGAAGCACAGAGGATATTGTGGTTAGGAACTACATGGAAACGTCATGCATCTTAGTTTCTACAGCTAAGATTTTATGCCAATCAAGATACTGAAGCTAATGATGCACTTTCTATGAAGCTAATAATGAACTAAGGCAGACCTTCATATGAGGGGATCAAACATGGTCTATCATGGAACATCTGTTCTATTTTTGCTTCATTTTCATCTTTTACAAGAAGGCAGCAGCCATAAAAAGCCCCATCAGGAAATCTTACTCCAGAGAACTAGAGAAGGCAAAGGGGACATAGAAGGAGCTGCTATGAGTTAGAACACTTGTGAGTAAGAAAAAGACAGGACACTCATGTCACTAACCAAGTCCAAGAACACAGAGGGGGGAAAACAGAACAACAAAGCAAATAGTCTTCTTATTCCTTCCCTTCCTTAATATTTTTTTCTTTTAAATTTTGTTTCCAAAGACCTACCTCCCTCAGCCAGCCATTTGCCCTGACTCTGTGTATAAGCTGATGCTCAGCTGCTGGAGAAGAGACACCAAGCACCGTCCCTCGTTTCAAGAAATCCACCTTCTGCTCCTCCAACAAGGGGACGACTGACGCTATCAGTGCCTTCCAGTGTCCTGAGGGCCCATGTCTTCCTCGCAAGATCTACCACTCATCCACGCCTAAGCCACTCCACCTGGACATTTAGTGGACCTGAGGGACAGAGGCTTGTTTGCTTTGCTCTCTCTCTCTCTGTCCCTCTTTTCCCTCACTCTACTCCCCCACTCCCCACCACTGACTCATATATACTTTTTTTTACATTAAAGAACTAAAAAAGAAAAAAAGCTTAGAAAAAATAAAATATAGTAAAAGAAATTTTACTTGATATAGCAAGTATTAGATAACAAAGGCTAGAAAATTCAGGTAATTTATAAAGGTTAAATATGCTTATGTTTATACATGTGCAGATTTGACAATATTTTTTCCACATCACCTTTTATGAAGTATTGTCAGGAAGGAAGACTTGAAGAATGATAAAATCTTGGGAAACATGAGATGAGGCACAGGGAAAAAACTTGGTACCCATGGAGAATCTGAGGACTCAGCCTTCAACATCCAATCAAATATGGTTTTCTGATTTGGCCTCTGGACATTCTGCATCTTGTTTTTCCTTCCCTGTCAAAGTGTGTGGTACATTGTTGAAAAGTCCTAGGTTCTTGGAATGGCTATTTTCCTCATTCATGGGCAGGGATCAAGGCTGTGGTTTGGACGTGAAACAGCAGGGATGTAGACAGGAAAGAATGTTTGTTGCAAGACTGCGGGAAATGGAACTGTAATTACGACTCCTGGATAGAATTCTTGAATAGGTAGTAGACGTAGGAAAGGAACTCTATGGAGGATAGGTAACAGGTATGCTATTCATTGTTCCTTTGGGAAGATCTTCTTTGTCTAGTTCTGACATTTCCAAATATGTATTTTAGTGAAATCCTGATCTTTTTAATCAGCAAAGTCTGATTGTTTGTCATATCTTCCTAGGAGATCCTTTGGCACTTCTTGCTCAAATCTATCACTTGAATGGATGAATCCTCTGTGGGATACATGCATTGCAGGCTGAGCTTCTCAGGCATAAATACCTAAAGGCCATGTATAACAGGAAGTAGGATCTACTCTAGGTGGCCTCAAAAGGTTGATTTAGGACCAATGAAGGGAAGCTGCAGGGAGACCTCTAGGGAAGACATAGGCAGAGTCTGAACATACAAGGATGTATGGTTTGGCCCCAGATGTGGGGAGTCCTTTGTCAGAGACAAGGGTCAGTTATAGGCTGAAAAATGATGCAAGAAAAATGGAGATTTTCAAACACAAGATAGATGGCTGCCTAAGGACATATTTAATGTCCTTCTAAATAAACTTAACATCCCTTGATTCCAGTGAAGCATACAGTTAGCATCCATTGCTATGTTTATTGCATACATTCTTGCTTATGATATGATACGACCATCAGAAGATCATGACACCCTGGTCTCAGAATTCATGAAAATGAATGCAGTGTTGATAGGAGTAACCTGAGAGCAGAATTTGAGCTTTAATCTTCCACAAATCCGCAGATTCAGTGGAAAGCTGGAAAAGGGGACCCTTAATTTCCACTGAGGAAAAACCAGGAAAGATTACAGATAAGCTGCCCAAAGAAATGGTTTTGCCTCCTCAGGGCCACCGTGATTGCTTACCCCTTCCACCTTCTCCGCAGTCTTCAGAATTTGAGCGCTTCCCCACTTAGCCTTCAACATAGCTATTGCTCCAACCACAGCGTAAGCATACATCTGAGTCCCACAGACTCATTTTGTAGGTGGTATTCTGATCACAGCAAACACACTTCCTCCATGGATGTTCAGTGACTGCACTTTAGTTTCTCCCAGGATTAATTTTGGAGAAATCATTGGTTTGAGAGGCAAGACAGCACTGGTTGGGGAACTTTGCGCCTCTCTCTGCATCAAGGCAAGTGTACTATCTTAGGCAAGTCACTTTATTTCTCTGAATTTCATTTCCTTATCTGTAAATTAAGAGCAGCGAATTAAATGGTCTCTTCTAGTTCTGGTATGTTCAGTGTTTGCTGGAAAACTCACGTGGATTGAACAATCTTGTTATCGCCTGCTTTGAAAATTGGGGCCAGTAAAAAGGTCATGGGAAATATAATGGCACTAAGAATGACACTTTCATTTGTATACTGCTTTATAGTTACCAGGTGTTTCCTCATACCTTATTTCATTAATTAAGGGTCAAACATCCTTTCTTACAAACTTTCCATACTCTGATTGCAAGGTATTAGCTTTCTTAGAAGGACTTGAAACAAAGACCCATGGGCTATTCTCCTTTGTCCTTTATGTCCCAGGAAAGGTTATGTCCAGGCCATGCCATGCCATGCCATTTTATACAGCAAAACAACACCATTTTGTCTTCTTTTGTCTAACAATCTCTTTGGTTTTCACATTTTAGAATTCTGTTCCAACTCACTGTATTCAATGATCTCTTATTTTAAAATTGTTTAAATGGAAATTAGAGTATCTGTAGTTCCCTGACTTTGAGACACAGAAATACCTTATTTTAGGTGGCTGCCAAATATGTCTTGTCATATACATGTGTGGGCTTTGTCTTCTGCCACTGAGCCCTTTGTATTATAAACACAGGCTTAACTTCTAACCACGTCCCACTCATAGAGTTTAGCAACACAACTCTGACTCAACAGACTACATTCTAGTCTCCAGTACATTTAGTATGTAGAATTAAAAAGTAGCTCAAATTAAAGACATGGAAGCAGAATTTGTTTGGAAAAAGATAGGTAAATTGATGGGAAACTGTGGGGCTTTATTATCTTTGCAGTAAATCCCCCTCTTCATGATATATGTGCATGATTTTATGACACCATGTGTTTTAGGATCATCAGATCCAAATTTGTATGTCTGTGTTGATGGCTAGATCCAGATGTTGACACATATATCTCCTGTATGATCAGGTATGAATCAAAAAAGGGGGGGCCATGATTTTAAAGCTATGGAAAATGTAACTCAAGGGTGATTGATCAAGGGTATGCAACAGAGAGTTTTGTGCAAGTGTGGGAACAAAGCAAAGTGGATGTGTGCAGAAGTAGATGGGGAGGCTGCAGCAGGTGAGGGAGGAAGAAAGGTATGTGCCTCGCAAGAAAGTGGAAGCCAATGATCTGGATCTGATGGACTCCACGAGGAAGCCTAAGAGCAAATCTCTGAAGAGAATTGTGACAGAAGCCAGAAAAAGTAAGTGACTTGAAGATAAAAAAATATGAATGTTGAAAGAAATTCAGGGTGATAGATTGTAGAAGTATTCATTCAAGAAGGAAAAGTTAGGTGCATGAAATGGAAGAGTTTTTTCTTTTTGAGTTTTAAGAAAGGAGATATCCATTGTGGAAATAAAACCACACAATCACCAAAGAAGGACCTTTTCATTTCAGGGGAAGTGAATGAGGGAGGCCATTTGTGATTTAGACTCATTCAAGTGCTGATAGAAGGAATCAATCTTTTGCCCGAACTGCAGTGGCTTTCCAAGTATTGAGCTGGACATGGAAACCTAGGAACAGCCAGCCTAAGGGAATTCCTGAATATTTATTTGTGTTCCCTTCTTTTGCTTTTGTTAATGAAACCCATTTTCAGTGATGAGCACCGGTAGACATGGAGACAGTAAGTTAGACAAGACTAAGCTATGTGTGATATCTGCACAAAAGGTGTGCACCGTTTGTGAAACGTGAGCTTTTCAGTCCCACTCAGACTTCCCATAAGAAAGCCATGAAGGAAGTGGGGCATGTGTTTTGCATAAAGGAGACTAGAAGGAAGGAAGTGTCTGAAGGAGAAAAAGGAAAGATGTTCCAAGGAAATATACTAAAGCAAAACAGTATCTATTTTTCCAAAAAAAAAAAAAAAAAAAAAAAAAGAAGAGAATTACAATATATAGCTATGAAGTCTTTGACTTTCTGTTGAATTCACAGACATGGAATTTGCCATCTTAGTCTTTCCTGTGAGACCTCTCTGTCCTCTGGCAGTGCAGGATATGTCCCTAAAGTGTTTGGACCATGTCAGTCTTGATCTCCACTGGGAAATCCTTCAGAATTGAAATTTCAGTTTTAAGCAAACAGATGAATGTCACTGTCATGTGGTAATGTTTTGGAGTGCTGAATTAGAAAGGAAAAAGATTGGATGATTAATGGGGAGTCAATTTCTAAAACTTGAGTTTCCTGCTCCAATCAGCTGCAATGTTTGGTGGCAGTAGGATGGTATTTGTTTAGTGGCTGTGTCTTTTTTGGAAACATGTTACATTGAAATTTAGACTCACCGGAAGTTAAAAAAATATAGACCAGGTTTACCCTATATCTAGATTTTTCTGTGTTGATAATATTTTAGTCTACTTTAAACCATGAAATAATAGTTCATCTTGAACTATTTTCAAAACCAGCAAATTGACATTAGTGTACTACTACCTAAACTACAGCCTACCTGGATGTCACCAGTTTTCCCCCGTGTTTGTTTAGTTGCTGTATTTTTTTTCTGATTTGTAACCTGGCCTTGCCTGGATAGAACATGCAGGATAATATCTGGATTAACCTGTTCCTTGCTCTAGATTTTAAAGTTATTTGTTTGGATTTGAAACCATCCAGGAACAACAAGGAAGGATTAGACAATTCAAAAGCAGTAAGTCCATGCTTGTTAAGTAGAAAGCCAGGTATAGACGGAATTCTCAGTACTGAAGGTCCTTCAGTTCCTAATGAGAGACTTTTCCTGGAGGTGAGATGAGCAGTCGAGAGTGAACCAGTGTTTTGGCCAAGGGTTGGGTGGCATTTATTTAATGGCATCAGATATAGTTTGTGGGAGGAACAGAACATAATGGTATAGATCACTGATATGTGATAAAATATTTTCTTTTCAGACTAGAGAGAAGGTTCATTTGTTTAAACATCTGCTCTTAATTGGAACAGCAACCACATTGGATCAAATCAAATGCAAACTTGGGGAGACATTAAAACTCTGGTTCTGTGGATTACGGCTTTGAGCTTTGTGATCACCATTTTAAAGTTGCCCTATTCAAGATTATAATAGTGCGTCTTGTAAAGTTCTGAGAACATCTGTGAGCACTTGCCAAATATTTTGTGACTGTTGTTTTTGAATGAGCAGAAGATGGAAGTGAAAACTTGTTTATCTAGCAAGGGTGAATCTAGGAAAAATTGCTTTGCTGTAACTTAAATGATTTATTTTGAAATAAGAAAAAAATGCCCAGACTTGTGTCAGGTGCAGCGTATCCTACATTTGTATCCTCCCTGATTATGCATCAGTGGAAATGGTTCATTCTTTCTAGTATTTAGACAGTGCTGCAAGGTATCTTAATAGACACTAGACCAAAAACAGAGACCAGACTCTGGCTCCAAACCCAGCACATTAAAATAAGCCTTTTAGTTCTTCCTCTAGATACCTCATCTACAACTTTCCAAGCCTCTATAGGAAAAGGGATCAGAATCCCAAGGTAGCCCATTCTCATTTACAATCATAACTACATGTCCAGGAAAATTTTGAAAAGACCCACACACATGTAATTATTTTCAGTGCAAAGTCATTTTCCTAAAGAGAGGCACTGAAATAACTGGCAGTTGTGAGGATTCCTGCAAACACATAAAGCTTCTAATGCAGCCTGTCTTAACAGTTATTTACTATTTATGCTATCTTAGTTGTCTCACATTTTCTGATGCTGACTTTCTGAGGACTGGGGTTCTGCAGCTGTGTGGTATGCTCTAGGCGAGGGAACATCTGGACTTTATTTTGCAGGCTTTGAAGGATTATGTGTCTTGTCAAGGGGTAAATAGCAAATGAGTTTGATTTCTGCTTAAAACTATCCTAGACATTCCAAAATATGTAAAATTTTTCTGTATTAGGAAATGAAACATGATACCAATTGTATATTTTCTTTTCTTTATTTATTCTCTGTAAGTCTGTCAGATGATAAATTGTAAATAACAATGATTAAAGAGTCATGCTACTGATGGATCCTTCTGTGTGTAAATAGTACCAATTCTTGGCTTCCTTACCTTTCCTCATTACATCATTTCTGGAGGAGTGATGGGATGGCAACACACAGCTGTGGGTGTGTGTGGTGTGATCAGCTGTTTGTTGTGGCTATGAAACGGTGGTTAATGAAGTAGGCTCCTAACATATTCTTTTACTGTTTATTGGAAGAGAAACATTTTGGCCTTTGACACTGTGAAAATATCTTCATATTATCTGCTTCAGTGCTGGACAGTCTAGCCCAGAGTCAAATAAGGATCCTTACTGCTATTGTTGCAGAGTTGTCTTGTTTGATACACAGAAATCCCAGCTAAATCCAAACACGTTCTGTCTCAGACTCTCTGTACAGAACAAACCAAGAGGAAAAAAAAGCACAACCACAATGCAATCTCTACAATAGAGAATAAGATGAAATGACCCCAAAGAACACATTTTACCTGAAGTTTTGTTCTGACCCAGATTAATTGTGTTTTCTGAGTAGCACAGTACATTTCTTTCAGCAGTGGTCATAGTAGGTAAGAAAATGGACAAACATGCTAAAGAACCAGAGGACTCCTAACTGTGCACAGACTCTGCGGAGGCTCTGGTTTGGTTTTAGTGATTCAGGTAGAGGAGTGGTGGGAGGGGCAATGGGGCAACAGGGGAAAAATGAAACAAGGACAGCAGAGATATCTGAAAATGTATAATTCTATTGTAAGCTCCCATAGCCAGCGTTTAAAGGTAAGCATGAGAGATACATATATTTTGGCATATAATATGTTATATAGATATACTGGTATATAATATGTAAACATACACATGATTGAAGATTTAAATAAAAAATAAAATTTATTATAGTAAAAGACATTATTATCCATCTCTCACAGAATCCTCCCCCTCACTTGAAATACTTATTCATCCCACTGTTTTTGTCATCAAGAAGCAGTTCTTGATGTTTTCCTTTGTGAGTGTCTTTGCATGGCTGCCTCAATGTCCTCGATCAATTCAAAATCTTTATACCAATTTCTGTTATACAAAATGCTATGGTGTGCCATCATGTACCTTATCCATTAGATCTGGCACTGTGCAACTTCTCCTTCTTTCCAAAGTCAAAATGTCCATGAAAGAAAGGTAAATGTTTTGAATCTGTTCAGGACATGAAGGCATCTCTGTCACAGGGCAACTAAAAACACTCATGAAGCGGCAAGAATGATAGTCTGTATGTTCATAGTGTAAAGGATTAATGGCAGTATGTCTTACTATAACAAATTTTAAAAAATATTCACTGTATTTTTATCATGCTTCATAAAAGAATTCATGTGTGCAGACATGCTATTTATGTGTCTGAATATAAAAAATTATTCATAAGGATGGGGATTATATCTACTCTTATTTAACTATCAGCTATACAGACTATTTTGTTGTTATGGGGATTAATAAATGGACTTATTCCCATTTATTCTAATTCCTTTTACATTTGATAAAGAAATGATATACAGTAATACCACAGTTCATGATTCCTTCTGTTTGCAAACAGAAGCAGTAGGTAAAATTTTGCTTCCATTTTCGAAGCCCACGTAGGGTGACGAATGTGGCTGCAGACACGTGCCCCAGCATCACGGAACCAATGAAGTTCATGAACTGAGGTGCCCTTACACTTCCATCTGCAAGTAGTTGCTTCTGCAACCCTTGAGTCCTACACAAGACTGATTCCTTCTGTATCAGCAACACATGACATTTTACCATTTTATTTGTGGACTGGGTATGGTCCGACTCCAATAGCAGTTTGATGCCAGTTTGAATGAGTTCAAGGGAAAACTTATTAAAGTTATGAACAAGAGAAACTTTGTAACATTGTTGTTTTGTCTCAATTTGCAGACTAGAAGCAAGTTAGTCCTGGAGAAATGGGTAAGAGAGCTCTGTTACTGGAACAAAAAATTACCTTTATTCATCCTTGTCTAAAAGACTGTTTCTGGTACTACAAGAGGAATAAGAGATGTGTTGCAGGATATCAGGCAGAAAAAAAGTATTGAATGAAGCAGTGGATAGATATTCAAAAGTGGAGACACTATGTTTACTATTCAGTTTGTCAGTGACAGATGGAGCTAATATACCACGATGTTCTTCTGGTTTCCAAGAAAACTGAATGAACCCCTGAACAACACAAACCTAAGATCATTCAGGTGATTAAAACAACTACATTTACCCACCCACCTCTGATTAAAAACATAACAACCGTTATAGTACGGTCTTCTAGGTGATACGATATTTTTAAAATATAAAATTAAATGATGTGTGTTGAAAACAGGCCTACTTTCTTCATCTTTCTGGTACTCCTAACAGTTCAGCTCATCTTTCAATGGTCAAAATACCTTGAAAGTAGCAACTTCAGTTAAAAAAGGAACAGGCCAAAGTCTCCTTGGTCAGCACGGATGGAAGTCTCAGTAGAGGAGAGCCTACTAGTCTTGCTCGGAAGACTTCTGGCCCTCACTTAATTCACAGTCCATTCCATACTGGCTATCCTCCTATCTAAGAGAGTAGACACAGAACTTCTGATGTTTAGGCCCTTTTCCTTTCTGTGCAGAAAAGAATTTTCCTTGGGACACCCACCAACTCTTTCTTCGCTTTCTTCATGTCTCCTATAAGTCCGAGGATATTTTAAAGAAGTGTTTATTTAGACTCTCAAAATTGGGGTTAATTCTAGTACTGAGGATGGAAGCTAGGATCTTCACAATGAACTACACTTCCAGCCACTTTTTATTTTATTGTTTTTTTTTTTTTTAATTTTGTGACAGAGTTTTTCTCAGTCACTAAATTGCCCAAACTGGGCTTAAACTTTTGCTCCTCCTGCCTCAGCTTTCCAGAGTGCCTGGATTACAGGCACATGCCCCTTGGCTAAGGCTGGGCTTCATTTTAGTCTTGGACTTTAGGAAATACCAGTAAACTGTAGTGTCTTTAGAATGTTGACCGTGGGATGAGGAAGTTGAGTTCCACCCTAGGCATAATACATTCTTAAGTAAGACATAAGAAATAAAAATAATCAGATTTCTTTCTTTAAATCTTTTTTTATGGGATAAAATAAAAGATCACTATACAAACTGGTGTCAGTCGAAACCTGTAGGATAATCAATATAGATTATCTTGATCATTTAGGGATCCCTGCTATTAAATACATAATTAAAACTTTGAAGGAAGTCATGAAGTCAATTAAAGTATGTTCAGTAGATTTTGATGTACAAATATGCAATGTATAAATATGTAAGACTGGTTAATGGTCTACTATTATATATATAGAAACTAAGTAAGCATTAGAAACTTTTATATCAGTTAGACAGAGTATGTTTGTTTTGCATGTTACACAAATTTGAGCTTAATAATTAGTATGCATTTTGCTATTTTTCAGTAATTCTTTTTTGTGTTTTCCACAAATACTCATTAGGATGGCTTAGAAACAAGAAATAAAACAGAACAGCAACAACAAAAAAGTAGATACTTTACCGCGGAGAATTTTTAATTTGCTGATGTAGATTACAGCAAATTTTAAGTTCTTCAGTTGAGATTCCCTAATGCTGTGCCACATTCCAAGCGTTAAAACCGGTATTTCACACGTTTTTACATAAATTCTTAAAGAAACCAACTCTCATTTTTCCCAGAGGATTCTTTAGGGAAGGAGATCTGAGCCAGAGGAAAATTCAGATTGATAATCCCTCAATTTTACCCCATAGACCCAACCTTTTGTTTCAAAATAAGATCTGGCACAAATGCCCAGATGTCAAACTGTAGGTCTACCTCAGTGTCTCCGCGAGAGCCACGCCCGCCACTCCTCCCACACATGGCGCGGAGGAACCTGCTGAGTCAGTTTGGACCGGGACCAGAAGGCCTGCACTTTCTTAACTGGCGCTATGTAGCTAGGCTCCGCCCCTCGGCCTATCTCACCTCACGCGTCCCTGGTGCGACTAGTGGACCGGAGACTGCGATTGGCCGGCTCAGGGCGGCGGCAATGACGCAAGAGTAGAGAGGAAGAGCCTGTCTCTGATTGGCTGGGATACGATTGGTGGGCGCGGCCAAGTGGCCAATGCGGGATTTTGGGCTTCTGACTTGGCGGGAGCATCTGCTTTGGACTGACGTCTGAGTGCGCAGAAATGCGGAAGGTGGTTTTGGTCACCGGGGCGAGCAGGTGAGGCCGCTTTCGGGATTTCGGAGGCTGAGTTTCAGGGCTCCACGGGAGCCGAGAACAGCGGCCCGCTGCTAACGACCCCAGCCTGCTCTTGACTTTGCCCCTGGGGGATTTGGGCAGAGATCCTGCCTGAATCTTTTCTAGGTCTCTACGAGCTCGGGCGCTGGCGTTTGAAATAGAATTGTCAGTGGGAAGGAAAACTTGAGCGCAGGGAGTGATCCCTGCTGCAGTCAAGAAAAATAGAACGCCCCACGCGAACTCCTTCCTTCCCTCCCCCCCAATTACCCACTCTTCGGTGCATTAGGACGGGGTGGGGTGGGGTGGGGAGAAATCTCCGTCCAGCATAGTCCGAGTGCAAGGTAACAAGTCCGGCATTATTCCAGGGATTCTCGCCTCCTTTATCACTTGTGCTTCCATGAAGAACCACTGTCACATTTGAGGAATAAAGACAGTGAGGGTGTTGCATGTTATTTAAGACTGTTAGGTTTAGTTACCAAACCATGGCCATATGATAGGGGTGTGTCGGGGATTGAACTCAGACCCTTGTGCTTGCCAGGGAAGGCCTTATTGTACTGAGCCATCTCCCCAGCCCGATCCATGGAAGGCTTTTAGTGTACTTTCTCCTTTGTGTCAACTGATGTTCTGCTGCTTTTGTTGTAAGTGTGTAAATAAATCACAATTGAGTTTATGTTTGACATATTTTGCAATATATGTAATGGCACAGTAATTTTAGAGGCTTGCTCTCTGAAGTGAGGAAGAATATGCACTTTGGTGTTCTCTTGACAGGGCCTTTGGGTGATTGCTAGCTTCAGGCTTTTGGGTGCAGATGTCTTGACTATTTGCCTGCAGTTAACTTAAGTCTTGGAAGAGAGTTTTATTACACGGATTTTCTTTGCTACCAGCAAAGGTAGTCTGACTGCTGTTCCCATCTAGTGGGGAGTTTTATATTGCTTTTTCTGAAGTAGTTCATGGAATGTCTTAGTGGTATACTTCTCTCTGCTCTTTCTAGATCCATATCCAGTACTCATTCCTTTTTTCTGCTTAATTATGCTGAATTTTTTTCTCTTTCTGTTGATTATTCAATTATGGTAGTGGAGAGTGGTTTGTACCTCCTGCTACAGTACTGATACTTATTTCTGAAAATCTAATTCATTCCCTTAATAGGGATACCTGGTGCTCCTTACAGTAGCAGTACTACCAACAGGTAGTAGAGTCATTGTTGTTGAGGAGCCTAGACATCCCACACAAGAAGTAGCTAAATAACACATACTGGCGATGTATTGAATCATTTTCATGAATAATGTCATATGTGCATTGCAGCTGTACATTGCATGTTTTTGGAATGGGCGACAGGAACCAGCCATCATCCTGAGCAAGTGATTGTGAGAGTAGGGGTTTATTCCTTCCATCTGTAAATGATGCTTGAATATTTTCTCTCTCCTTGGGTTTCTGATTGGCGCTCAACTTAACACAATTTGTTTTTTGAACCAAAGAAAGGCTTGTCTTCATTTGGTGCCATCTCAGTTAATGCCTATCCTGTGCTTAAATTGTTTTCTCAGTGGCATTGGCCTAGCTCTTTGCAAGCGGTTGTTGGCTGAAGACTGGGACCTTCACCTGTGCCTGGCATGCAGGAATATGGGCAAAGCAGAGGCTGTCCGGGATGCGCTGGTAGCCTCTCACCCTACTGCGGAGGTCACCGTTGTGAAAGTAGATGTGAGCAACCTGAAATCAGTGTTCCATGCTGCCAAGGAGCTTAAGCAACGGTATGTCTTGTGGTGACAGATATATTACAGATGGTGCAACATAAGGATTAAGGAATGAAGGATAGGGAATGGGGATTAAAAAAAAGTAAGTGTGGTGGAAGAAGTTGTGCTGAGAAAATCTTTGTAGACTGACTCAATCTGTCTCAGGCCATTGTCATTCTTTATCATTCATTATTTTATGATTAATATATGATATACCCTAAAATGGTCAATTGTAAGAACATAAATTAATGTAACTCTTTTAATACTTAGATTCTTTTTTGCATATTTCCTATGAATTCATTTGGGAGGCAGGGAAAGTACTGACATTTAACAAGTGACACAGGACTAGGAGAACTGTTGCTAGTAGAATCATCTGACTTTGTTGTGCTTCTAGAACTCAGTTCTTTTCTTTCTCAGAATGTTTTCTTCAGACTAGCAAAGATTTGTTCACATCTATATGCTGATTTGCCTATAATAGGCATTGGACAAATATTTGGAAAATGAAGGAATGGACTCTGAACATATGGCTACTAGAGAGTATACCCAAACTTGCATATACACACCCAGTACACTTTTTTCTGGCAGAGGGAGCATTCTTTTTTTTTTGAAATTCTAAGAGGAGTTTATGATCAAAAAAGGTTATAAGCCCTGCATTAATGTATGCTGAGCCCCAGCACAAATCAAAATACTTAATTTTAAAATATTTTTGTAATTAAGGTCCTTAAAAAATGAAGAACTATTTTATTTCCTTGGACAGTAAAATGAAATAAGGTAGAAACAGACAAGATCTTGGTGAAGACATTTGCTAGAAAATAATATACTGAATATTATTTACATGAATCAATAGTCATTTGCATTTCCTTGTTCCAAATGTGTGAGTTGAAACTTGACCATTTTTTGGGGGTGGTTTTTGGTCCCAGTTCTTCTTAATGTGATCTTAGGCTTTTGTGAATGTGGTTTTTTTGTTTGTTTGTTTTCTCCTCTGCTGCTGAACACTTAGAGTTGCAGTCACATTCTGTATCTCTATTACTTACAGAGTCTCTAAGCCTCTAAAATTGCACATTAAGTGTCTTTATAGAGTAAAGTAGGGGCCTGCCCCGTAGCTCAGTTCTTTAAGTGGCTGCTTCGACAAAGCAGTCAGGCTCAGGTTGCTGTGGTTCGATCCCCACAACTCCAGCCAGCCAAACCTGCCCTGAAGGCAATCGGAGAAAAAAAAAAAAATCCTTATAGAGTAAAGTGACTTTATAGAATAAAAAAATAGTCAGGAGAGCAGTGTGTAGACAATCCTTTCCTAGACCTTTCTAGCCACCAGGCTGTCTTGCCTGTGTTACATAGATTTAATTATTTTTTCCTTTTTTGGCAAGAAGGACCATCATTCTCAGTTCATAGTAACCTATTTCAATACAGTTGACTTTTGAGACTTAAAGTTTTAACACTTGTAGTATGGATTATTCTCAGTTGTTTCCAGAATTTTGAAATATTTAGTAATTTATCACAGATTTAATGCCATGAGGCTGTGGGACACAGGAAAGCACTGAAGGTAAGTGAGTTGTGCCAGCTGTGTGTCATCAGCATTCGGGGTTCAATGTATTTAATCCACAAAATAGCTTATTTTGATTTGTGCTGGGGCTCAGCATACATTAATGCAGGGCTTATAACCTTTTTTGATCATAAACTCCTCTTAGAGCCAAGAGAGCTTGAGAAGGATCTTTTCCAATGGTAAAAGTCAGCACCACCCTGGACAGTTGGTCTTTCTTTTCTTTCTTTCTTTTTTTTTTTTTTTTTTGCTATACGGGGGATTGAACTCAGGACCTTGAGCTTGCCAAGCAGGCACTTATGCCACTGAGCTATCTTCCTGGCCTGGTGATCTTTCTATCTGTAACTCTGTTCTGTTAGATTTATGCAATTAAAAACATGTAAGGAGTCATTGTGCTGTTTTACCCAGAATAAAACAACTCCACCAATTGTTTAGTCTTTGAGAGTAGTAAGTACTGGATATTTTTCTACTCAAACCAGAGGTCAGCTTGTTGCTCTGGTACAATTCTCACTGTTTAGTAAGTGTTTCTTATTTATTCCTAGGAAAATAGATTAAGAATCTTAGATGAAAGTTTTCAGCTAGGCATGGTGGCACATGCCTGTAATCTCAGCCTTTAGGAGTCTGAGGCAGGAGGATTGCTGCAAGTTCAAGGCCAGCCTGGGTTACAAAATGAGTTCAGGTCAGCCTGAACTGCATAGCTAAACCTTGTCTCAAAAAGACAAAAAAAGAAAGAAAGAAAGGTTAGATAATAGTCCTCTACCAGGGGTGTTTGTTCTTTGGAGGGACGCACATGGAACATTGAGGGAGGAAAGGGACACCCGCCTAGTCAGCCAGATCAGCCAAGTCAACCCTGGCAATCAGTGGGGTGATAGATATTGCTGCCAGATCACCCTCGTATCCAAAAGTTAGGTAGTGGAACAGTCTATAGTAGAAGGAACAGGAGGCTGGGGAGATAGCTCAGTTGAATAAGTGCTTGCCTGATAAGTGCAAGGTTTTGAGTTTGATGCCTGGTACCACCAAAAAAAAAAGAAGGAACAACTGTCTTTTTGGCATTTGCATTGTGAACCAGTGGGAGCAATAGAAGTGTTTTTAGCAACTTAGTAATTAGAGCTACTTGATTGTTAATTATTTACAGGGTGACCAGGAAATGCTTGTGCGTGTTCTGCACTATCAACTACATGTAATTTAAGGTCCAGTTTGAGTCACTCTGCCCCCGTCCTGGATTGAACAGAGAATACAAACAGTGTGGGGCATAGAATTCTAGGAGTTGTTCTGAACATGAATGGTGCCTGTGGGTGTCACAAGAACAGGCTCTCCATGCCTCAAACTTGGTTTAAAAGGGATATACTTAGATGAAGATTTATGTAGGTTTAAAAGTGGAAAGGCTTTCTCAGTTATTATTTTTCAGTTCCTTCCGTGGCAGTATTCTAGAGCCTGCCCACAATATCATAGCCCTATTCAGCTTTTATAATTTCATTCTCAAAATCTCATAGTGAGCATTTACCATTTTATGAGACATAGACCCTGTCTGCAAACACTGAATGGTTTTCATATGGGTTTTCTGTTTTAGTACAGATCTTTTTTTTTTAATGTGTTTATTACAGGTCTACAGAGTCCGTAGATCGGACTCAGAGTGATTCTCCTGTTTTTAGCCTTCCAAGCACTGTGATTCCAAGCACATGCCACCATGTCGTCTCAATTGCCATCATCATATGCTCGCTGGAGATCTAACCTTGGCTGCTGCGCTCTGCCTAAGCAGGCGTTTTAGTCCACTGAGCTATCTAGCTGGCCCTTAGTACAGATCTTGACATTCAGAATTTAGTATTGATCTAGTGAGGTCTGGTGGTATGCATTATACAAGTTTTACTTGTTAACCAGGAGAGATGTTCACTAAAAAAGGAAAAAAGAAAAACAACAACAACAAGAACAAAAACAGGTAAAAAAACCCTTTTAAGACCAGAAAGACAGCAGGCTTAGTAGAGGGTTGCTGCAGTGCCTAATGGGGAAGGACAAAGCAGGAATTTATTACAGATGATTTGGCTCTAAAAGTCATTGATATCACTGTCTAAAAAGGTATTTCAGAAAGGTATACAAATATTTACTATGGCTAACAAAAAATTTGAGAAAAGAACAATATGCTAATCCTATTGTTCAGAAGTGTTTTCAGTTCTTAGGCTTTCTGTATTTTAGAGACAGAGACACAATGTTAATCTTCTCTATTTTAGTAATCTTGTTTTGTTGTTCTACTTGCAGGTTTCAAAGATTAGATTATATATATCTGAATGCTGGAATCATGCCTAACCCAAAGCTAAACATCAAAGCACTTTTCTGTGGCCTATTTTCAAGGTAATTTCTCTTTTCCAGATGTGCTGATTTGAAGGAAGATGTTTATTTCTCTGCCTCTTTTTGCCTTTGGTGTGTTAGATTGTGCTATGAAAGATAAGGGATACTGAGAAGGGTCCAAACGTAAGAAGCAGATGTAACAGCTACACCAAGAAAGGGAAGTAGGGCATACCGCAAGTCATGGTTCTTATTGCAAGGAACAACTCGAGGCATAGAACACTCAACAGGCTTGCGTGAAAGAAACGAGGCATAAGGTTTAATACCTGGGTGTGGGGAGACAGAGGACAGTAAGGCCATCTGTAAGGAATAAAGAAAAGTGGGCCCCTTTTTATAGGGCTTGAAAGAAGACAAGGGACATCAGGTGGGAAGATCTTAGTAAACATCAGTGGTCATAGTTCTGTGGATATTTCACATCCAGTGGGCAAAGTCCTGGAGCAGTCTGGAAAGCTTGGGTGCCTTTAGCTATCCAGGTGATTGCAAAACTCTGTGTTCCGTCTTAGCGCTTTTAGACACCCTTTGCTTGCTGAGGGCAGCTCAAGTGCTGAGCTAAGAACAGCGCCTTGACTGGCAGCCGGGTTGGGTAGCAGGAGAGTCACGTCTGAATTGAGCCTTACACTTCTACTGTCTCTGGGTTGGATATTTCAGGATATCAAGTTTTGATGTGCCTGAATGTGTATATGAGCTAGAACAGACCTAAATTAGATGAAGTTCTCAGGGAGACTGAATACCCGAGCAAATTCTACGGGAAGCCTAGCCTGGTAATGGGTCAGGTGCCCTGACTGTCAGGTTAGAGAAATACAGAGAACTAATGACCACCTCAGAACTTATTAGTATACCTTAATGTGGTGGCTTTCAAAGAGATTTAACCACAATCCTGAGTAGGAAATAAGTCTTATTTCTGTTTCCTTGTGTTTATTTGTGCTGCTTACTACATCGATAGTTTCCTTAAATTAAAAGACGCATAGAATACACACTAATTTTGACCTACTAAATTGATCTCAAAGCAAAACACTGTATTAGTCTGTTCAATGCCATTAAGAATTCCTAGCGGAAAACAACCTGCTCATTTTTTTTAGCAGTTAAACACACTGTGCACAGACTTTTTTTTTTTTTTTTTTTTTTTTTTTTGCCTTGGTGTAGCCATTATTCTTTCAGTTTATGTATAACTTATTTTGAGGAAAGATAAAGAGGGTGTTAACAATTTATTTTTGAGAGATGTGTCTTCCTTTTTGTAATGTGAGCTGAAGTATGTGTGTCCTGCTGTAAACGAGGGCATTTGGGGTCACATTTAATTCTCTCAGCAATGCAGTCTGAGAAATAGGTATTTTTATTCCTTTCATTATGGAATCAAAGAAGGTCTGGTTTATGAGTGTAAGGGGATTGGTTAGGAGCATCTGCAACATTTAAAATGCCATCCTGTTGTCCTTTGCTATTTCAGAAATGTGATTCATATGTTTTGCACAGCTGAAGGACTGCTGACACAACATGACAAAGTCACTGTTGATGGGCTCCAGGAGGTGTTTGAAACCAATGTCTTCGGTCACTTTATTCTGGTAAAACAAAATTGAGTTTAGTAAACTCCTCCTCAGTGCTGTTACTAAGGGAAACATTGATGCTGTTTTGTGAAGCTCATTAGTTTATGGTTAGAATTAAATATTTGAAGTATCAGGGAGATAGCTTAGTGCCTGCTTGGCAAGTGCAAATTTCTGAGTTTGATCCCTGGTGCAAAAAAATAAATAAATAAATAAATAAATAAAATAAAATAAAACCAAAAAACTTTGAATATTTAAATACGGTGGCATCTGACTGAAAACATGCTTTGCTTATCGTAGTATATCAATATAGTATTTTTTATTTTACATCAACTCAAGAGAATAAAAAGAAAGTAGAGAAACAGATCCCTTCAGAAACAATATACAGAACTGAGGAGAAGGATACCAGTTATGTTTGCAGTAGTCTTTGGGACTGGGCTGAGGATCAGATAGCATGGGGTGGTAGGCAAGCCATTCTGAACAGTTGTAGGTAGTTAGTATTTCATTTTCATGATTTCTGACTCCTTAGGCCTCTGTCCTGGAATGTTATCAATTCTAGATCTACAGATAACAGTATGACATACGTAGCTTATCTAGCATGTCCTGTGCATCTGGCTCAGGTTTACTCTCATAGGGCAGCCAGAATATCTGGCATGAGTGATGACCAGCCATAATGCCAATCTCTTACAATTCCCTGGTGTCTTAGTTACTTTTCTCATTGCTGAGACAAAACATCCGACACCCCAAATTAAAAGGGAAGTTCTGTTCATTTCTGTTGAGCAATCATTTTGGCTACCTCTGCTTGCTTATCTGTGATGTCCCACTCCAAAGAGGACAAAAATGGCTCCCACCATCTTTCATTCATTTACTTAATGGTGCCATTCCAGTATACATATCTAATAGATTCAAAACTGTTGCTATCTATGCCCTCCATAGTCTTCAAGACCTTTTTGTTCTTTTTCTTCATTCAGATTCGGGAACTAGAACCTCTGCTCTGTCACAGTGACAGTCCATCTCGGCTCATCTGGACATCATCTCGTAACGCAAAGAAATCTAATTTCAGTCTTGAGGACATGCAGCACAGCAAAGGCCAGGAACCCTACAGCTCTTCCAAGTACGCCACTGATCTTCTGAGTGTGGCTTTGAACCGGAACTTCAACCAGCAGGTAAGGTCTGCCTCAGTGGTAGGAAAGGGAGGGCAGTGGTTTCTTTATAGACAGAACTGACTTTCTGGTAACATGGCTGACTTTCAGCTGTTTTAGTTAGATTTAGACGTGATGCCCTTGAAATCTTGAGGACAGGAATAATTCACTTCGGGCTTGTTAGATAAATGTGCTTCATTTACCATTCTGTAGTACGTAGGAACTCTGATCTGTATTAGCAGGACAGCACCACTGACCACGGCTGCTGCCGCTGTTTAACTTCTTGTGGTCCCTCAGATTCTGTTAATTGATGCCTCTCCCATCACAGTTAGGGAGGGTTGATGTTCACAGGTTCAGATGAGAATAACAGAGTTCAGAGAAGTCGAGTCATTTCCCCAGAGGTTACATGATTCTAAGTGGGAGAGCTCAGAGCGGAGCCAAGACCATCAGATTATGCAGCTTGGATTTTTCTTCTTAAACTACATAGCCTTCTGGTTGTTGCATCAGATGCTGTAATACAGTCAGCAGTTATGTAGCTTTGTGGGTACTGGTGCTTTGGGGAGACTCCAGAGCTCTGGTTCCATGACGATCTGAGTTTAGAGAGTGTTTCTTAGGAGAAGGTGAGCCTTGACTGTTACACTGGCTCTGATCTGAAACTTGGTTGTGTCATTGTTGGCCTTGATGGCTCAGGTAGGAACTCTTAAATAAACATCTCTAGTCTTTTCTATGGATGTTTGAATTCCATGAACATTTCTGCTTAAGACAGTTATGTGTAAGTGTCTTGGTTACTTTTTACTCGTTGCTGGGACAAATACCCAATACTCAAAATGAAGGAAGGAAAGGTTTATTTAGCTCACAGTTACTGGAGGGTTCAGTCCATATTCTGCTGGCTCCAAGGCAAATAACAGTCATTCATGCAGCAGAAAACAAGAGCAGAAGAGGAGCAGCAGCTGCAGCGTCCGTCAAGCCTCTCTCTTCCTTCTCTGCTCACTGCGAAGACCAGTGCTCCACAGTGAAGATCGGAGCTCCTCCAAAGTGGCCCGGCTGCAAAGATCAAGCTCCTCCAAAAAGTTGGACTTCTCCGCAGAAGCCAGGCAGGGTAACAGGAAGTCCTGCAAGACGGCAGGAAGCCTTTCTCAATTCCTGGGCCCTGCCCACCTGCAGGGCTAGGTCCCCACGCTGAGATCTGCCAGAGCTGATTCAGCCAAGTTGACACAATGTATCAACTAACACTGTAAGACAGAAGGGAAAATAAGACTGACAGGAAACTGCCTTCCCTCAAGGGAACTCACTACCCTGCTCATGAATTGCATATAGAAATCTGGATCTTAGGTGTTAGCTTTGACCTGGGTTTCTCTGGAACAGGATCTTTATCAGGAAGAATTGTTTAGCAGTGTGACTCTTAGAACTGTGCCTTTTGTCAAGGGGTAGTATAAAGTGTGATGGTGGTCCCTGTCTTTATCACGGAGGTTACATTCCAGAAACCCCCACTATAAGTGAAAATTAACGAAGTAGCAACGTTATATTTGTTTATTGTTTATGTATATTTTAAAGCTTTAGAAACCCTTCCCATACTCTTATAAACCTTTCCCACACGTTCAAAAACACTTCTAATGTTCTTAACCATTTTCTAAAATCGTAAACTTACGTAATTTTAACAACATACATATACTGTACATTACTGCAAAGTCCTGCGATATAGTGAAAAATCTGCAATAAATAATTCAGATTAATTATTTTTTTGAAAACCCTTGAAACAGTGAGTCTGCAAAGTTGAATCACAAAATAGCGAGGGAGTACTGGAAAAGCTGGATTTGAATTATGGCTTTGTCACTAGGTTATATGTTTAGACAAGTTTGATTTCCTTATTCCTCAGTTTCTTCTGAAAAATAGGGAAAATAATAGTGGCTGCCTCATCGATCTGCCAGGAGGACTGAATGAGGGAATCGGCCTGCCATAGTCATAGGCAGAATTGTTCCATTCTCAGAATGTGTGCATTTGTACACATGTCTGCACACATATATGGATGGGGGTGTGTGTGAATGTGGTAGCTATGCTTGTGTGCACACCCATGGGGGAGCATGCGTACTGCATGTGTGGGTTTTGTGGGTGTGTGCACATGAGCATGCATGAGGGCACATGTGTGTCTGTGTATGTAAGTGTGTTCCTCTGTGTTCATGTGTTAGCTACTCTTATTAAAGCTTGGGCTTAATGTGTCAGTTCAATTATGAACCTGCTAACATTTTATGAGATGTTTAGAAACTTGTCAGAGCTGCTGCTTTATACCCTGGAAGCTCCCTTTTAGAGGGCAAGGTCAGAGTGGATTAGCTTCTCCTTTCATAAAAAGTACTGGGATTTTATTTAGTTTCCATTGTCAAGAAAACTTTGAGATTTTATCTTTTTATGAAAAAAGGTGATCTGATAATGTTGCTCCCTGCTCAAATATGTTAGGATTGGTTCTCAGCCCTTGATGTTTTCTCTGTGGCTTTTCTGAGGAAAGAAGACTGTTCTTTTGGAAGACTTATATTACTGGCAATGTTTTTGGGGTGGATTGGCAATGCCTGACACAGGTCATCTATTCCTGAGAGTCCCCATGTTGAACCAACTGTCCTTGGGGGATTTTAATGATCCATTAGTGACTTCAAGCCATATAGAAGTTCTTGGGATCATCATAATTTATTGCCTATAATTAAGCAGAAGAGAAAGCTGAGGCACAGGGAGATTGAATAATTTGCAAGCTAATCCAAAGCCGGAATTCAAATCCAATCCTAGAGAGCTCTCAAGTCTCTGAACTTCTACTTTATATCACCTTCCATGCTAAAAGTCATGGCACTTAATAGCCAGTCCACTTAGATAAAACTGCTTCCTTCTAGCTTTGGCTGATCAATGCTAGAAAATTGTGAATGTTGAAAATCCTCAATTTTGTTTGAAAATCTCTCATTTTGGATTTAATAACTGATTACTATTCCTAGGTAGTTTCTAGAGTAAGAAATGTTCTTTGAGGATAAATTATGTTGCTTTCTTAGGAAGATTTGGGAACTGTAGTGATGAAGAGTACTAGCTCTTGACTTCTTCCCCCAAGGACAGTTGGTCCATCATGGGGACTCTCAGGGATAGATGACCTGTGTCAGGCATTGCCCAGGATCTGCATGGCCCGATAGAGGAAGAAAAGCTTTTAGCTCCTGTTGGTTAGGGTGCTGTATGTCTATAGAGCTGTGCTACACCAGCATGTCTAACTTTTTATTTAAAAGAAAAAATGAAGTTTCAATTAATAAAAATAAGTTAAAATAATTGATATCCACATAAGTTAAAATACAGGGAAAATTAAGCAAAATAAAAGAGTAACATCAATCTCAGTGCTACAGGACTTACTATCCATGAATCAGGGTCTTTCTAGCCTGAGCTCTTTATTATTTGGGGTTCTCTATAGGACAGAACTTTCCAAAATGAGGGCTTCTGGACTGTGGGCCTTCATTAGAGATCCCCAGTTTGGAAAAGGTCTCTGTGGCACCAGTACAGCCTCTCTTTCCTCTGATGCCAGGAGCGCCTACGGCAGGTGCCCTTGTGCAGCTCTTAATGTAACTGCAGGGAAAAAGCATGTATTTTAGGCTGAGCATTCTCTATCTACTAGATCAGAAACTTCTTGAAGGCAAAGACTGAACTCTTTTGGGTCTTTTATCTTAAATATTTATTAGGATCAATAAATGGATCTTCTGTTAAGTTAATAACATGGAAAACTCAGGTCACCAGGGCCTCCGCTGCTCACTCCAACTTTAAGATCGGTTATTCTTTGTACTGTAAATTCCTTAAGACTAGAAGCTTTATCTTACTGATTTTTTCATCCTGAGTACTTCTCACTGAGGGTTCTTTAGTCTAATGCTCTCTCAACTGAGCTATTTTGGCTGGACTCATGGAGGGTTCTTAATGAATGCTTATTAAACTAAGATAATGTAGTCAACTTCATGGATAACTTAGAGTATAAATTCTTCATCCTTGGCTTCCTGGCTTATAGGTTTATTGCTTATTAACTGGCACATAGTTGGATTCAGTATGTATTGAATTAAAATCTTACTGTGATGTTTCTCTGTGCCTCCAGGGTCTCTATTCCAATGTGGTGTGTCCTGGTACAGTAATGACCAACTTGACCTATGGAATTCTTCCTCCCTTTGTGTGGATACTTCTGATGCCCATAATATGGCTGGTGAGTGATGAGCCGACACACTTTAAGTTTGAGAAATGATTTAAGAAATTGATCTAAAGGTGGCAAAATTCTTGTTAACTTGTTATTGACGTGACTGGCATGTGACTCCTGCCTTGTACTCTGGTTTTTACAAGTACCTTAGTATCTGAGGGTGTACTTGTTTTCTTTGATTGAGCATCATAGAACCCAAGAATTCTGTATTCAGATAATTTTGGAAAAATCCACATAAAGCAGTGGACTTTTCTGAGTTTTCATTGTTGTCATGTATATTAAAAGTTCTCAAGAAAGGGATGACTGTATAGTTATCTACAACTTTATTTTATTTGTCTCTTTTGATTTGGCTTATGAAAATCTTGCAGGACCACCGTTCTCACATACAATGAAAAATCTTGCTTTCAGCAAGTAACCCTTGTCTCAAGTCAGGAAAAAATGTCCCTCCATAATGGTAGGCATGGTAAAAAAGATCAGAAGTAAATATGCCTTCATGTGTAAAATACTTGTTGACCCACGGTAGTAGAGTTTAAGTGATACATTTTTTTGCCTTATTTTTTGACTCTCAAAAATGATCTATGATCTGAAATGCAGAATTTCTTATTATTTTTTATTTTTTGGTGGTACCGGGAATTGAACTCAGGACCTTACACTTACCAGGCAAGCACTTACTCCGCTGAGCTATCTCCCTGCCACCCACCCAAATTTCTTAATATTTAAATGAGTAATTCTTTTTTTAACTGTGTTCCAAACCACCTCAAAATAACTGTTGTTTTCTTTTCCTCAGCTTCGCTTTTTTGCACATGCGTTCACTCTGACACCACACAATGGAACAGAAGCACTGGTATGTCGCTAGTTTTTAAAGTTTGCATAGTGGCTTAGTAGATGTGAATTTAGGTTCACGGGGAGTAGTAGAATTTCATTTGAAAAGATGGTAAGAGAATAAGCCATGTGAATGAGGTAGCCCATCGGGCCAGATGCAGAAGTTGAGGAGTGAAGTTTGAAAGTGTAACATCTCTGAGGGCACTGGTCCCCATGAGTGTAGAGAAAGCAGTTCTGGAGATGCGAGAGGCACCAGAGGCAGGAGGGGAGAGAGCTTCAGAGCACTGGATGGGCAGGCCAAGCAAGGTGGGTGATCAGGGGCTGATTTTCTACGGAGGAGGTATAGCTTGTAGACAAGAGCAGCAGCAACCAAGTCATCTCTATTTCTCTATATGAAGATTCTCTTCCCTTTGTTGGCATTAGATGATCAAGTTGTTCCTTTATGAGGAAAACAGTGCATTATCTTAAATCAAGACAGATATTAGTAATGATCCACAGTTCACTGTCCACAGTGATGTCTTTGATTGTTTATCACCTCAGAACCCCAAAGGCAGCCTCCGTGGGCAGAACAGAATTGTCATGCAAGGTAAAAGTTGGCCTCTGTTGTTCACATGATCTAGTTGAAAGCCCAGGGTGTTAGAGTCAGCTCCTATGCGCTAATTCCCTCGAGCTCCTGCGAGATTTTGCTCCTCACCCAAGACCTTGTAATTTCCCAAAGTGTGACAGGTAGGAGGATATCACCTGAATAATGTTGGTGACAGCTGGAGGTGCTAGTGGTTCTGAGTGTACCACATCAGGTGCACAGACCTCACTCCATCTCTGGGCAGATCTTGTCTTCCTAAAGAAGAGCATGAGCTTGAGGTTGAGAGACCTGGAGCACAGTGGTTCAGAGCAAGGCTGCTGAAGTTAGATTAGCTGCTCACCTCCCACTACTCTGGTTTCTCCCTGCGAACCTTAGCTTTATATTATTTGTAATAGGAACCATGGAAGTAATTGAGAGAAAGCATATTGCAAAGGGGTTAATGTATTTTAACATTTAAATTTTAAGGGAAATATTTTAATGAAAATAGTACAGGTCACATGTATATACTAACCAACTGATGGAACAAATATAGGCTCATAAATATACAAAGATTTGATATATGATCAAGATGACATTCCAGGGTCGGCCAGATAGCTTAGTGGACTAAAGCACCTGCTTAGGCAGAGACAGGGACCCAGGTTTGATCCCTGGCATGCCATGCTGGCCCCGCCTCAGGGCGCACTGAGACAGTGACTGAGATTGGGGCAGTGGTATACACCTTTAATTCCAGTGCTTGGAAGGCTGCAAACAAGAGAATCACTATAAGTCTGATCTGTGTAGTAAGACTCTGTAGACCCTGTACTAAATACCAAAAA